TTTCTTTTTGCTTATGTGGTGCTGAGGAATCAAACCCAGGGCCTCATGCATGCAAGGCAAGTGCTCTACCACTGAGCCACCTTCCCAGCCCCCCCCCTTTTTTTTTGCCAGTCTTGGAGCTTGAGCTCTGAGCCTGGGCATTATCCCTGAGCTTCTTTTGCTTAATTACCACTCTACTACTTGAGCTACAATGCTACTTCTGGCTTTTTCTGTTTATGTAGTACTGAGGAATTGAATCCAGGGTTTCATGCATGCTAGGCAAACACTCTACCACTAAGCCACATTCTCAACCTTTCTTTTATTATTATCAAACCCAGAACCTATGTCTTCGAGAGTTAAAAGATCTTTCTGTCATGTTCATGTTCTATTTCTAAAGTATGGAAAAAGCAGTAGGGGCCCCATAAAATACTTGTTGAATAAATGAAGAATGAATAAATGATAATGTTAATAAAACCTCATACTACCTGTCACACATTCTAGCAATTTTCCCAAGAACAGTTCCAGTTCCAAAGTTGGATCATGAAAGCCTGAGAAAATTTGGGGAAAGTTTGGGCTGAAGGCTGGGGGATGGAGTATACTGGCACTTTGGCCTTTTTTCCTTAGCCAAGGATCCCAAGAGATCTTGCAAAAGGGAGAACTTAGAAGGTTTTAACTAGAAACCCCAGCTTAACCACAACGGGTATTTTCTATGCACGATTCTTCGTAGCCACTTTGGCAAATGCGCAAAGAACTTTAGGACCCTGGGTGTCTTTCTATTTCTTTATGAATGAACCCAGCTCAGGTTTACGCATGCGTGTTTTCCATTTCTCCAGCTCCATGTGAGACCCACCCTTCCCTCCAGCCGGCGGCTCCGCCCTCATCTGTTCTAATAGACCAATGAGGAGTGGAATGGGGGGCGGAGCCCGGAGCTGTAAGGCACTATATTTCCTTTCCGCAGCCGGCTTTCTTAGTTCAGTTGTGCTGTGTTGTGATCACGTGACCATCCCTGGGCTTGGCGCTTGTTTTGGTTTTTCTTCAGCTTGCCCTGGCCGCTTCGCGGTGCACGGCTTTCCTGCATCGGTTGCTGTTCCTGTCTGCAGCCTGACCTGTTCTTTGGGCTCTCACCCCGAAATTCTGCAAGTCTCCAGGGACAGATCCCTGGCATGCCGCCGCCGGTTCGCTATAGGAAGGTGCTCGTACTCGGATACAACGCTGTAGGTGAGTCTCTCCCTGCTGTGGCTTTGTGGCTAGCAGAGGCTCAGCCACGGGAATGAGACACCAGGCGCTTGTACAGCGAGGTTTGGAAGGATGAAGGAAGAAAGGCCGCAGGAAGCCGAGCGGGTTAATGTGGACTTGGCTGTGGGAACATCACAGTGGTCCCCGGGGTTACTCTGGGAGCAAGCCTGGTGTTTGGATTTGTTCCCCGGGGTTACTCTGGGAGCAAGCCTGGTGTTTGGATTTGAAGATACCGCCGAGATCTGTGTGGGATTGATAGGCATTAAGTGTTCTGCAGCAGGGCGGATTTGATCCTAGGGAATTCTAGATCTTCCCCAGGACGGGCTAAGCAACAGGAAAGCCTTACTGGGTCTTGCTGACTATAGCCAAAGTGGTACAGAGACAATGTGAAAGAGGGTGTGAGTCAGATACAGAAAGCAGTTGCTTGGGGTGTAGTCACAGACTGAGAGCTGATGTGGGGATACCCTTTGGTTCTGGGGCGCAGTCGAAAGGACTGATGGATGATTTGGATACAATTGCTTCTCCTCACAGGGAAGACATCTTTGGTACATCAGTTTGTCAATGGCGAGTTCTTGGAGGACTACGATCCTACTGTGGAGAATAGTGAGTAAACTCTCCATTACTTGTAAAGGGGTGAGACCTGGAGGTCTTGGGTAATCTATCCATCTCCAGAGTTTGAGATTTCTTTGTTGCCCAAGGGCTGATTTATTTAAAGGATAATTTTAAAATATAAAAATATATTTTATTAAAAATAAAATATAATTTATTTTAAAATTTACTTTAAATATAATTTATTTTAAAGTAAAAATACAATCTCTTCTACTAATCCTATTCTGTGAGTCTAGAGAATCAATTTTGCATGATACTCAGTCCAGGGTAGTGTATATGTAAACAGTATGAACCAGAGGGTCTCTTTTTATGGCAACTTCCTTGTACCTGGTCTGTGTCACTTTCAGGATCAAGAAGGTTTGGGGTCCGTATCTCTGACACTATAAAATATCTCACAGACAAGTTTTTTTCCTTTTCAGCTTACAGCAAGATAGTGACTGTTGGCAAAGATGAGTTTCACCTACACCTGGTGGACACAGCAGGGCAGGTACCAGTTGTGGTATTCAAATGTGGCAGTTCAGCCTTATGACATGATATTGGTTCATGTGTAAAGTAGTAGTAAAAGTTTGTTTAGGTGTCAGAGTGTCACAAAGTATATAGCCCAAGCTGAGCTTGAACTCTTGATCCTCTGGCCTCAGTCTCCAGAGTGCTGGGATCATAGGCTTGTATCACTATGTCCAGTTAAAAGAAAGTCATTTTTAGGTGCTAAGGGAATGCAGAACTCATTGGAGCTGCTTTGTAAATACTTGTTGAAAAGAAGTGACTGGAGCAAGAAGTGCTATAGGGAGGGTCATCTTAATGTCATCTCACTAAACCTGTTGCCATCTAAATGTTAAGGGTCTAGGTACTGATGTTTCTATTTCTTACCAGGATGAGTATAGCATTCTACCCTATTCATTCATCATTGGGGTCCATGGTTATGTGCTTGTGTATTCTATCACCTCTCTGCATAGGTAAGTGACTGTGATTGTGAGCTTGGGGGCTTGGGGAGACCTTAATTAAGTAGTCCTAGAACTAAAATTATAACTCCATTTTTTGTGTTTAAAGCTTCCAGGTCATTGAGAGTCTATACCAAAAACTCTATGAAGGCTATGGGAAAATCCAGTAAGTAGTCCTAGGGGTTAAAGGTAGTGTGGGGACTGGGAATGTGGCGTAGTGGTAGAATGCTTGCCTAGCATGCATGAAGCCCTGGGTTCAAGTCCTCAGTACCACATACACAGAAAAGGCCAGAAGTGGTGTTGTTGCAAGTGCTAAAGTGCTAGCAAAATAAGCTCAGGCCCTGAGGAGTTCAAGCCCCAGGACTGGCAAAAAAAAAAAAAAAAACCAAAAAACCAATAAAACACCTTAGTCAGTTCGTGGTGGCTCATGCTTGTAATCCTAGCTATTCAGGAGGCTGAGATCTGAGGATCACAGTTCAAAGTCAGCTCAGGCAGGAACCTCTGTGAAACTCTTACCTGCAATAATCCACTCAGAAAACCAGAAGTGGCACTGTGGCTCAAGTGGTAGAGCACCTACCTTGAGCTGAAGAGCTGAGGGACAGCACTCAGGTCCTGAGTTCAAGCCTCACAACCACCACCACCAACAACAAAAAAGGGAGTGGGAAAGAACAAAGGGGTTAATTATCCAAACTACAGAGGAGTCTGGGATATAGATCATGCTTGGTTTAATTGGGAAGTTGTCTAACTTTGACACATAGGAGATTGGGGTTCACAGAGAATAATAACTGCTGTTTCCTCTTAGGCTGCCGGTGGTGCTAGTGGGGAACAAGTTGGATCTTTCAACAGACAGGTATGTAAATTCTTTGCTGCTTAGGGGCTTTGAACCTCAATGTTCAGATTTTAGGCCTTCTAAGTAAATAGAATTTCAGATGTGAACCACCAGTGCCTGGCTCTAGCCTCCATCTTTTATATCTCAAAATTTCTTTCAGAGAAGTGAAAACAGCTGAAGGAAAGAAGTTAGCAAAGTCCTGGGGTGCAACATTTATGGAATCATCTGCTAAAGAGAATCAGGTGCTGGGCCTGATGACTAGAATGGTGGGAAGGGTAAAGCAGTGTCTTACATAGTGCTTGGTGGTGGAGATGATTGGGATGTAGCATAAGTGTGTTTATCTCAGGGCTAGAGAGTATTAGCATTGAACTGATTCTTTTCCTTAATATCTATTTCCTTGTAGCTGACTCAAGACATCTTCATCAAAATTATCCAGGAGATAGCCCGTGTAGAGAATTCTTATGGGCAAAAGCATCGATGTCACGTCATGTGAACACTTAACTACCCTGGCACGAGCCAAGCTCCATTAAGGCAGGCATGCAGAGTCTCAAGGACCTCAAGAGTATGGTTGGCAGCCATGTCCTTGGTCCTCTGGACACCCAGTGTGGTGCCCTTATTTGCACTTTTTCCAGGCCCAGTGGCCTGGTTGTCAATGTTTACAAAGAGGAAAGGTGTCTCCTGAGCCCTGACCTCTAGCTCCCTGTTGTTCTAAATAAATTATGCTATAATCTGTAGGATAAGGAGTCCTGGGCATTATTTATCCAGAATCCACCTTCCTGTATAGGTTTTGGTGTTGGCTGGGTAAGGAGAGCTGGAGGACTCCTGAAGTGGGAAAATATAAATATGCAAATAAACTAAGAAATCTTTTGTTGACTTCTCTGTGTGTGAGGGGAGAGCTCAGGGGTAATATCCCACTATCTTTTTTTTTTTTTTTTTGCCAGTCCTGGGGCTTGAACTCAGGGCCTAGGCACTGTCCCTGAGCTTATTTTTGCTCAAGGCTAGCGCTCTACCACTTGAGCCATAGCACCACTTCTTTTTCAGTATATGCAGTTCTAAGGAATCAAACCCAGGGCTTCATGCATGCAAGGCAAGCACTCTACCACTAAACCACATTCCCAGCCCCTAATATTACCCTTTACAAAGAATTTTTTTTTTCAGTCGTGGAGCTTGAACTCGGCCTGGGCATTGTCCCTCAGCTCTTCAGCTTAAGGTGAGCTCTCTAACACTTGAGCCACAGTACCACTTTTTTTCTGGTGGTTAATTGGAGATAAGAGTCTCATGGACTTTCCTGCCTGGGCTGGCTTTGAACCATGATCCTCAGATCTCAGCCTCCTGAGTAGCTAGGATTACAGGTGAGAGCCACTGGTACCTGGCTTAAGGAATTCTTACTGGGGTGTTTTTGGAGTTTTTCATTCTACCTCACTCTGATTCCTTATTCCTCACTTATTAAGGATCATTATCCTAAAACTATTTGTCTTTTCTATTTTACTGGGTTATTTCTATATAGTACTAAGTCCAGTTGGTTGCCCCACCTATCCAAGTTTGTAGATTCCGTTTTAACTACGGAAACACCACCCTCTAGTGGCCAGCTGCTATATGCTGCAGTCATCTGAACATTTGCTGAAACTCAAAGAGAGCAGAGTTTGGGAGGAAGAAGGAAGCTTTTCATTCCTAATGAAAGAACCAAAGATTCCAGAGGCAGACTAAAAATGCTGCAAGTGTTTTGATTCCCCAAGAAAATCAAAGAGAAAAGTAAGAATGTCGCAGATGGATATCAGTCTGCCATCTCTTACAGTCCGTTGTCCCTTTCATTACTGTGGACTCTGCCTGCCCCCCATACATACATTCTTTTCATAGGTTTAGTGGTCTTTTTCTACCTTTGGAGTCATGGTGCAGTTTTTAGATGTTAAAAGATTGCCACTGAATTACTACCTCAGTAGGAATATGGATATTTCAGCTAGAAAGGTTTTTGGATTTTGCTTTTTTTTTTTAGAGTGGTATTGGGATTTAAATTCACACTTACTAGGCAGACAATATATCATGAGCTATTTCCCCTTTCTACTTTTCTTTTTTTTTCCTGCCCTTCTTTTTTTTTGTCGGTCATGGGGCTTGAACTCTGGGCCTGGGCACTGTCCCTCAGCTCTTCAGGTCAAGGCGAGCACTCTACCACTTGAGCTACAGCGCCACTTCCGGTTTCCTGGTGGTTTATTGGAGATAGGAGTCTCACGGTCTCTCCTGCCTGGGCTGGCTTTGAACCTTGATCCTCAGATCTCAGCCTCCTGAGTAGCTAGGATTACAGGCGTGAGCCACCAGTGCCCGGCTCTGCCTTTCTTGATTGACTGTTCCCCCCTGCCCCTTTAGTTCATCAGGCAATTGGATACTGTGTGTGTGTGTGTGTGTGTGTAAACATATCAGTATAGGAGTCTCACAGACTTGTTCCAAACTGTCATTGAACAGATATCCTCAGATCTTAGCCTACTGACTAGCTTAGGATTAGAGGTATGAGCCACTGGAACCTGGCTAAATGGTGTATCTTCACGGGAAGAATGAAGACCTCCCCACTCTGTTATTTGGGGTGGAGGATGAACTACCCTATTCAAGTGTACTTGTGATTTTTTTTTTTTTTAATTTTTGGTCAGTTGTGAGGCTTAACTCTGGGCCTGGGCATTGTCCCTGAGCTCTTCTAGGCTAGCATTCTGCCGTTTGGGCTATGGTGCCACTTCCAGTTTTCTGGTGGTTAATTGGAAATGAGTCTCACTTAGTTTCCTGCCTGAGCTGGCTTTGAACCACGATCCTCAGATCTGAGCCTCCTGAGTAGCTAGGATTACAGGCATGAGCCATGGTGTCTGGCACAAATTGTGATTTTTTTTTTTTAAAGCTATGAGCTTGTCAGTGCTTAATCCAAGCTTATACTTTGGGTATGGAGATAATGATTTGCTATGATTTTTTCCCCCTCCCTTTGTTTGCTTTTTCTTTAAAATAACATACAAACAAAAACCAAGAGGAACTCAGCCTCCTGAGTGATGGAATTACAGGTATGTGCTTGTTTGCAATACTGACTTTAATTGTCCTGCTAGCTGCTTTCGTTTCAATGATTCAGAATCAAACCATACTAAAATGAAATGGATGCTAGAAAAATCATACTACCAAAAACAACCTGTGGTCTAGGAGGTCCTTCAGGGCTGTCACCATCCTCTCCTGATTGTAATTCCTTTTACACATCTGACCAAGATACTCACAACATGTCCTCCCATTGCCATTTCCACAAGGTCTTTGAAATAAATATCTGAAGTTTCTAGTTGCTTATTTTTGTTTATTTGTCAGTTGAGGGGCTTGAACGCTGGGCTTGGGCGCTGTTCCTGCACTCTTCAGCTCAAGGCGAATGCTCTACTGCTGAACTACAGCACCACTTCCAGATTTCTGGTGGTTACTTGGAGATTAGTCTCATAGACTTCATTGCCCAGGCTGGCTTTGAACCATGATCCTCAGATCTCAGCCTCCTGAGTAGCTAGAATTACAGGCAAGAGCCACTTGTGCTCAGTTCTAGATGCTTATTAATAAGCAATATCAAGACATAGTAATAGTTATTGCTGGTCAATAGCTTTTCCATTTAGCTTTGTTGTTGTTGTTGTTTTTTGTTGTTGTTGTTGGTCGTAGGACCTGAACTCTGGGCCTGGGCACTGTCCTTCAGCTTTTCAGCTCAAGGCTAGCGCTCTACCACTTGAGCCACATTGCCATTTCTGGCTTTTTCTGCTTATGTGGTGCTGAGGAATCGAACCCAGGGCCTCATGCATGCAAGACAAGCACTTTACCGCTGAGCCACCTTCCCAGCCCCTCCTGTTCACTTAACCTCTCTGCGCCTTAGTTTCTTCCTATGACATGTGGTTGAATGTGTTTCAGAACCAGGCATTAGGGGCTCATGCCTATAATCTTAGCTACTCAGGAGACTGAGATATGACGATCACAGTTCAGAGCTATGTTGAGCATACAAGTCTTTGATATTCCATCTTCAAAAGAGCCAGCAAAATGCTGGGTTGGTGGCATGGCTTTAGTGGTAGAATGTTAGCCATGATTGAAAAACAAGCAAGAGCATGAGACCCTAAGCAGAAAAAGAAAAAAGAAAGAAAGAAGTCTACTAAGAGCTTGAGGCTCTGAATTTAAGCTCCAGTACTGATGCTTGTGTGTATACACACATACACAGCCTCAGAGGAATGAAATAATATACAGAATGCTTAACATAATTCACCATACATAATAACCCTTTAGAAATGGTGGCTATCAGTGTTATTGGAAGGCTTTCTGGTGAGGGCTTGCCTCTTCTGGCCTTTGGGTACTAACCATAGTGGGGTACAATCCTTTTTTTTTTGTCAGTTATGGTGCCTGAACTCTGGGCCTGGGCACTATCCTTCAGCTCTTCAGCTAAAGGCTAGCACTCTACCACATGAGCTACAGCAGCACTTCTGGCTTTTTCTGCTTATGTGGTGCTAAGGAATCAAACCCAGGGCCTCATGCATGGAAGGCAAGCACTCTACCACTGAGCCACCTTGCCAGTCCCAATACCATCCATTTTTTAACTTTAATCTTTTCCTTTTCTTTTTGTGGTAGTCCTGGAGCTTGAACTCAGGGTCTGGGTGTTGTCCCTGAGCTTTTTTTGCTCAAGGTTAGCACTCTACCAGTTAAGCCATAGCTCTACTTCTAGATTTTTTGTTGCTTAATTGGACATGAGTCTCATGGCCTTTCTTGCCTGGGCAGGTTTTGAATTGTGATCCTCAGATCTCAGCCTTCTAAGTAGCTAGGAATACTGGGTGAACTATGGGTCACTGCTGAGTTTTTGCTGAAATGAGCTTAAATGGTCAGAGAACGTGATGTCAGTGTGTGGATAGCAGAAATTATGCCTCATCCTGATTCTGTCATGACCACGCCACATCTCCTGCACTGCCAATATGGAAACCACAAGTTGCAGTTGGCTATATAAATTAAAATTAAAAGTTGCTCAGCTGCACTACCTACATTTCAAAGTATTCAATAGCTACATATGTGTTATGACTATTCTATTAGGTAACGTGGACACAATACATACTGATCATTAGAGAGTGCTATCAAATGGTGGTATAAGCCCTTCTCCACAAAACTAGCCCCAGATCTAATATGCACACTTCTTTCCCCTTTTTCATATATCTTTATCTAGCCTATGTCTGTCTATCTATCTGAACCTATCCATACTTATAGGTCCTTATTTATAGATTTATCTATAACAGGTAGATAAATAGGTCAGGTAAAAACAGCCTTTGATTTGAATCATGGCTCAACTTGTCAACAGAGGTGACTCCTTGAGCAATTTTTATCTATTTTAGCCTCAATCTTTTCAATTTGTGATATGGAGTTAATTCCTTGCAATTGGTATTCTTGTGGGAGGTAACTAAGAGGATATAAAGTATCTAGCACATAGTTTGTCTCCTGCTGCCCACCCAGTGTGTACAATTCATTCAGAAAAGGTAGTGTAATCACTTCCTTGCATCCATATTGAGGGTGTGTGTGGGGGTGGGTGGAGAATTGCCTGCCCAGATGTGTGTGCTTTGGGGTTTTGTCCAGACTAACAACAGTTTCCTGGCCAGGCAGTGAGGCTACCTTAGTTTACTTGAGAAGAGAAAAAAGAGAGGAAAAAAAAAAGAAAAATGAGATTAGGAAAGACTAGTGATGGGGTACGGTGCAAAGGAAGGGAATCTTTATAATTGATGTTTGATGGGGAGATGGTCTGTGTGGTGATTGTGACATCAATACCCCCGCTGCACAAGGTGGCCTGGAAAGCAGGAGAGGAGGTACTTGTTCAGTTTTCTCCGGGCCCCCAAACGTGGCAAGAACCCACCCTTTACAGCGCTTAGGCGCCGTGCCTCACTTTCTCCATTTGTGGACTCCAGTTCCCAGGATGCAGAGCAGTGGCCAATCTCCAGGCTCTTCTTCCATTCCTCCCCCCCCTTACCCCCCCCCAGGAAAGATTGTCCCTGGCCTAGGCAAGGGGATAGCTAGAGTTTCTAGGACCGATGACTGAAAGCGGACGGAATTGGAAGTGGTTAGAACCCTAGTTTTACCGCTCCGGAGGTAGAGGAGGTAGTTGCAGGGCAGGGGGCGAAAAGGAGGGGGGCTTCTTTCCCACGTGTCTGCTCAGTGGCCGGCCCGGCGCAGTCGGGGTTAACCCGTGGCGGAGGGATCCCGTTTGCGTGTGCGTAGAACTGCAGAGTCACAGCCTTTCCTCCGAGAGGCTCGTATCCCTCCGCCGCCCCGCTCCAACACAAAATAGGGCCGCGTCTTCTCCTTTCTCCCCCCGCCCCTGCTCGAGTGGGGTTCCCCGAGCCAAAGAATCCCCCCACCGCCACACCTGGATCTCACGCCGGAGCTTCACGAGTCTCCACGACCGCCTCCCAGATCTCGGGCCAGGAAATAGCCCCTTCGCAGGAACCACCCTACCGGCCGAGCAGGAGGCGGAGGGGGGGGGAGGGGGGAGGGGGGGGAGGGGGGGGGGGGAGGCGGAGCGGCGCCGCGCTGCACTACTTTCCTCTCCGGTTGCAAATGGCTGCCTCGTTCCCCACTTTCCGCTCAGTTTCCTGACCCCCCGGCGCCGGGAGCCGGGGTTGGGCCAATGCACCTCTAGGCCCCCCGCGATCACAGCCTGCTGGGGGTCAAGGGGGTGCCTCGGACCGGAGCCGGCCAGGCCGGGGGCGGGGCAGCTCCCCAGGCCAAGAGGGGAAGGGAGGCGAGCGCAGGGCCTGGAGCGGCCGGAGGGGAGCGGGCAGAGGGCTCGCACCGCCCGCCCCTTCCTCTTCCTCGCCCACCTACCCTCCTCCCTTCCCCAGGGGGGAAGCCGAAGGTGGGGGGCTCGTAGCCACCGAGGGAGAAGCGCTCGGGGGTCGAGGAGCCCGGCGCTGGGTGTGTGTCAGGTTCAACCCCGCGGCCCCGCCGGCTCCGCGTCGCCGTAGCTCGCGCGGCCCCGGGGCGCCGGCCGGCCGGGCGGGGAGAGGGGGCTCGACGCCGCGGTGAGGGTCTCTCGTTCCATCCGGGCTCGGCACGGGGCGGCGCGGCATTCCTTCCGGGCTGCTTGGGGAGGCGCCTCGACGTTCCATCTGGAGAGCCTCGACGTTCTGCCCGAGCCCGGCGCGGGCGGCCGGGGCGCTGGCCGGGCCCTGGGACTGAGAGGCCGCCCGACGACGCGGATGCGGAGCCTGCTCGCCCAAGATCAAAGCCACCGGTGCTCTCTTTGTGTCCGCTCGGGATTCGCCACCCTGGGGCTGTCCATGGAAACCTAAACTGCTGGAACCCAAGGCAGAGAACCCCTCTTTTGGCTTCTTGCTTTTTTTTTCTTTTTGCGTGGGGGGGGGGAGGGTGGCCACTCCGACCTGGATTTACCGTTCTTGGCACCCCTAAGCCCCCCCGTGCGGGGGGCGGCTGTGATCGCTCTGGCGGTTGGAGGTCGGGGAGCGGCCCGGGCTCTGGCCATGTTCTCGGATGAAGATTTCTGGATCGTCCTGTGAAGAGGTGAGTGAAGTCCGCTCGGCCAGGGCCCAGAAAGGGTTGGACTGGGGGCACAGCCAGATGGACTATCTTGGCTGGTGGTGGCTTTTAGATTGGAGAGGGGGATATCAGAGCTGGGGAGGCTTCCTTTGGCAGAGTCTGTCAAGGGAACTTGAGCCAGTCGCTAGACAGAAGCGAGGCCTGGTGTCTTGGGGTGTGCCTCTTTAAAAGCTGGGGGTTCAAGGAACCACAGGAGTTTGGGAACCTATCCAGATAGCCTTGCTGCCTGTTTATTTTTGTATTGGGGGGAGTTCGACTAAACAAGGACCCAGGCCCTGATGCCAGCACCAATCCCAGGCTGCTTGCTGCTTCTCCCCACAGGGTTCCCTGGGACAGAACAACTTGGGAGATTGGGGGGAGGGGGGAGCAGGGTGTCACTGCCAGGTTGGACTTACTGCCAGGTTGGACTTTAAGGTTGTTCCTACCCAGCGGAGCACCCACAGCAGTGGATGGGAAACTCAAGAAGCTCTAGGTCCTTCACCAGGCCTTCTTTCCCTGGCAAAGGGGAGGGTGGGTGGAAACTGACTAGTGTGATGAAGGGGGTGGTTGGGGCAAGAAGTAGGCGGGACTGGGGGCAGTTCTGGCCCTGCCGGTCAACTTTAAACTAGCCCTGCCTGGCAAAGTGACCCCAGTGAGGCCTAGTGCTGTCTTAGCCTGCTTTGCCTCCCCTCCTCTCGGGATGGACATAATCTCCAGGGATTATAGAGGAGGCCGTTGAGATTTGTTCCCTGCGAATGTGGGCTGAAAAAATTTAAAAAAAAAAAAAAAGGTTTTTGTCTCCTGCTTTCTCTGGGCCTGGTGTGGAGAGCTAGCTTCTCTGAGTCTCTGTCCAGTCCTGCAGGCCCCTCCCCAACTTCTACCCTTTTCAAGCTAAGGGAGTTTTAACTGGCCCCTTGATGCTGTACCAGACCTGCAGCATAGGGTGGCCTGTATTGCTTCCTAGGAGTGACTTGACTTGAGCTCCTTTCTGCTGGAAGCCAGTGTTTCCAGCCCTGCCTGGATGTGCTGGAGAGGAGAGAAGGAGTGTATATATACATGAAAGAAGGGTGCAGCATAAGTCTCATGTCTCAGTCTCTGGGCTCTGGGCTGGGACAGCCCCTCTCACACCTGTCATGCTGCCCAGCAGGGATTTGGCTAGTGCATTTTGCTTTCCTTCTCTACACCCTCCAAAAAACATTTGCTAGATCTTCTTGAGTTTAGATTTTGAAAAAGAGAAAGTGAGGATTTTGCCCTTGAAAGGTTTCTGGGGAGGTTAGTGGTGGCCAGGGGTGGTGGAATCAGGTGAGCTGTCAACTATGCTCTCTGTTCCTACCTTCTAGGGAGAGTCCTTCCTGTTCTCAAATAACTTTCTTAGGTGGGATTGTACTTTGTTAGCTATGGCTGCCTCTAGGATGACCCGTGGACGGTATGGAGGGTCTGCAGGGCCAGTGTTGCCATTTAGATCCTTCCTGGAAGACTGACCCAAAATGAGAGTGGATAGAGTTGTGGTTTGATTCTCAGGCTGGGAACCAGGAAGTCCTGAGTCCTGCTGAAGAGCTGTTCACTCAAAGGCTTGTTCTATCCTTTAACCTCTCCAACCCTCCATTTCCCTCTTGGTTCGGAAAATGGAGTGAAAGCTGTTGGTTTAGAGTGAAGCATGGGAGGAGAATGGGTTGATACAAACCCTTGCTGTTTTCTATTTGGGGCCTTTTATGCTTAAGAGGAGTCAGCATAGTTTTACACCCTAGATCAGAGGAAGCCTGGCTAGGCACTAGTGTAGTTTAGATCCAAGGAAAACCTCTTGGTGAATTTGTGTGTTTGTATTTACTAACTAAATAACAGGGCAGGGAGAGCCTGTCCCTTTATTTGTTTAGATGTGTTCAAGGGCTTGATTGCTGGGGGACTCAGTATTGGGGTGCAGATGCTACACTGCAGAGATTGTTAAGTAGTAGAAGCTGAGTTTTAGACTTCTTGGATGTACCTTTAGATTCTTTTGGGGACAGTTTGGAGGACACTTTTCTAGATTCTTTCTGGGACATCTTGGAGGACATTCTGCCCCTTGCTTCTTAATCTCTCATCTTCATGGCCCAAGACTGGGTCTCTGACTTTGGACAGTGTTGATATGATGTTCCCCAAGGCTGGATGAAGATGGTTTCTGTACCTCCTTTAAGCATTGCCAGCTTTTACCAGCCCGAGAGGGCTGCGCTCGGGGGAGGGCAGAGGAATTTGTTCCTCTGGCCTTGTGGGAAGCAGTCGTCCTCCTACCCACTATATTATCTATCACTGTTGCTTTTTATTTGTTGCTGTTTGTGACTCTTTTGGTCTTAGCTTTGAGAACAGAATTAGAGAAGAATCTTTGGGCTGGGGAGCATGTGGTCGTAAGGTATAGTGAGGTGTAAACATTTAGAAAACTTTTAGAAGGTCCTCTTGGACCTTCTGGGTGTGGCCAGGCCTTGACTGAATAGGAAGAGAGGTCTGGCTGGTACCCTGTCCTACAACTCCTACATCCCTGGGAATCTTAGAGTAGCTTTTCTGTGAGCTGGCCAGATAACCCATGGTGCTTTCCTTTTAGGTGTGATTGTGTGGCAGGTTTGGGAAAGGTATGTCTGGGACTGGAGATGACCAAGTGTCAGGTGCTGCTGTATGTTCCATGTGTAGAAGATTCTGAGTGTTCAGGGAAAAGTAAAATAGTTTCTTTTCCTGTGACATGGATTCCTCAGGAGGGGCATTGGCAATATCTGAAAATGAAGTGTGAGCTTAGGGAAGAAAGACTGGTATTGGAGTTGGACGTTGATCACTTCAGGTTCCTCTTGTCATTCAAACCCAGGTTATTATTGACTGGGGTATTATCCTTCCACTTTGAGAGAGCAGGGTTGTCCTTACCCAGGTTGGTGTGGTTACTGGCTGAACAAGAGGAGCAGAAAAGATGGGATTACTCAAACTTGCACTATTTACATTTCTTTTTTAGTGACTCCCTACCCACAAATCAACTTGTAGAAACATTATACTTTATTTTTCTGACTTGGAGAAGGGTCTACTATCCTTCTCATTAACAGCTTCTGGCACCAGTCCCTTTCTTCTTTCAGGATCCCTTTCCGGTTCCTCATCTCTGTGATTCTTATTTGCTCCTCTTCTCTGTTTTTGTACTATGCTTAGTTCCTTCTGAGGTTAAGGAAAATATGCCCAAAGTTGTGGTTCTCAACTTATTTACATATAACTTTAGTGTGTTTCATTTGGCTGTGGTATAAGCTAGCATATCTTAGAAGGGGACCGTTACTTCTCCCAACCCCCGCCCTAACCCCCCAGTTTATGTAGAAACCCTGCTTGGCGGAAGAGGAAGGAAGCTACTCTGCTCTGCTATGTCCTGCCTCATTTAGATCTCCTCCAAGTGGCAATGTGCTTCCTGAGACTACAACTCCCAGCATGCATAGCCTTAGGTCTGGCTACACATGCTCAGTAACTCTTAAGGCCCACTTCTGTTAACTACTAGGGACATCTGAGGAGGAAGGGCAGTTGGCGTTGCTAAGGGCAACAACTTAAGGCCTTCATTCTAGGTGAGACTCAGGCCTCAGTTATGGCAGGGAACAAGTGTGGACAGTTAGGGCAGGAGCTATATTTGGGTGGAAAAAAAAATTTTTTTCTGTTGTGATTAGGATATCCTTGGTTGAACCAGTGGAGGTGGGGGAGATCTATCCAGAGCTAAGGTTTCATTCCAATAGTGTATTCTGTCTCTTGAAAGACCCCAGGACTCTGCTGATGGGAGAGAGATTTTTGGCTTGCCTCAGACTTCCTGGGTTGGCACTGTAGGATAGTAGCTACCTAAGACCTGAGGTCAGAGGCCAAGGGATAGGACCCACCTACAGCCAGGAGCTCAGAGATGAGGCAAAAAGTGGTACTAGATATGCTTCTGGTTGAATGCTGTTTTTCTGTGAACTTTTATGGAGGAGTCTGGAAATGGGAAAGTGTAGTAGACCCCCTGAGAGTCCAGAGTAGAAGAGGGTATGTGTTTATCTGGGGAAGAACTAGGCAGTGGTATAAGAGTTGGGGAGACTAACTCTTCTTGTTGTTACAGTTTGTAGGTAAGACTTAGCTCTGATGTCTGAAGGGTGCTGGTCATACAGCTATGTCTTGACATGAACAGGTCTCCCCGAGAGGGCCCTGCCCAGTCGGAGAGAGGGATGGACAGTCAGAAGCCGCCTGGTGAAGATAAAGATTCAGAACCGGCAGGTGAGTTGCTCAAATTCTGGGTTTGCTGACAACTTTTGGCTTTTCATAGGTGTCCTTTTATTTATTTCTGATCTTGGCATAAGGATGAGCTAAGTCTCTGTACTAGGCTATTGGGGGACATTGTTCTTTGAGAGAACAGTTGAAATGCCGTCTCTGTGATCAGCAGAGGGTTTTGGATAATCTCAAATCTGGTGAGTGGACTTAGTATCAAGTGAGGCTAATGTGCTGCTCTATTTATTCAGCCGATGGACCTGCAGCCTCCGGGGAGCCAGGTGCCACTGAGCCAGACCTTCCCGGCCCACGTGTGGGGGAGGTCTCTATTCCCAGTTCTGGGAGTCCCAGGCTTCAGGAACCTCCCCAGGACTGCAGGTAACTTATTTGGGAGGAATTGGTCATAAACGGTCGCACAAGAATTTTGAGACTTTAGTGCTTCAAGAGGAGGATTTAGGATGTGAGTGTTTGGAAAACATAGGCATGCCAAATCATGGGGTTGTCAGGGGCTTGGCATGATACTGATGATTGTGTATCCACAGTGGGGGTCCAGTGCGGCGGTGTGCTCTCTGTAACTGCGGGGAGCCCAGTCTGCATGGGCAGCGCGAGCTACGGCGCTTTCAGTTGCCATTTGACTGGCCCCGGGTTCCAGTGGTGTCCTCGGAGGGGAACCCAGGTCCCAGTGAGGCAGTGCTGCCCAATGATGACCTGTCAAAGATTGGTTTCCCTGAGGGCCTTACACCTTCCCACTTAGGAGAACCTGGAGGTAAGTGAGGGCAAGTGGGACAGAAAATGAAATAGGGACTGAGCTAGCACCCGTTTTATTGTTAACTCTCTCCTCTCTACTTCTTCCCACCTATAAAGGATCCTGCTGGGCACACCATTGGTGTGCTGCGTGGTCAGCAGGTGTATGGGGGCACGAGGGTCCAGAACTATGTGGTGTGGACAAGGCCATCTTCTCAGGGATTTCACAGGTAGGGCTAAGGCAAAAGGCGTTGCATAGGTGAAGGCAGGGCGGGAGGACCTTTGAGTTAGAGTAGAAGGAGAAAGACAATGGTTATGTGGGGCTGGGCGAGTACCTATACTGTTTCTCTTGGGAAAGCTGGCTGATACTAAGGCTTTGTCTCATCCTGGCAGCATTGCTCTCACTGCACCAGGCTTGGTGCCTCCATTCCTTGCCGCTCACCTGGATGTCCACGGCTTTACCACTTCCCCTGTGCAACTGCCAGTGGTTCCTTCTTATCCATGAAAGCACTGCAGCTGCTATGCCCGGAGCACAGTGAGGGTGCTGCACATCTGGGTAAGAAGTCCTATCCTTTGGACATAGAGCAAATGAGGGGCTAAATGTGCCTTAGATTTTGGACTGTGCAGGGAATTCCTCGAAGTCTTTAATGTGCTCCACTAAAATACAGGGGCTTTTGCCTAACAGATTTACTGTGATGTTTGTGGTGTCTAGAATGGTACCTGGCATACATTGGACAAGCACTTAAAAACTATTTGCTCCTTATTCTTGAGCCTGGAATACCTGTTACCTATATAGCACTGTGCTGAGTTGTGCAAAGACTGTGCTGATCACAAAGCTGACCTGTGCTGTTTGTCACTACTGCAGAAGAGGCGCGCTGCGCAGTGTGTGAAGGACCAGGGGAGTTGTGTGACCTGTTCTTCTGTACCAGCTGTGGGCATCACTATCATGGGGCCTGCCTGGACACTGCTCTGACTGCCCAAAAGCGTGCTGGTTGGCAGTGTCCTGAATGCAAAGTGTGCCAAGCCTGCAGGTAAGAATAGGAAGGCCTGAAGGAAGCCTTAGGCAGAACACGTTAGGGTTGAAAATGATGGCAGGAAGGCTCCTATAATGTGCCATGTGCTCCTGCAGGAAACCTGGGAATGACTCTAAGATGTTGGTCTGTGAGACATGTGACAAAGGGTACCATACCTTCTGCTTAAAACCACCCATGGAGCAACTGCCTTCTCACTCTTGGAAGTGTAAGGTGAGTGTCTGCTAATTCTGCCTCCAATAGCATCCCCAGTGTCCTTGTGATGGCTAGTCCTATACTCTTCTCCAGTCTCGACTGTCAGTTTGACTAGAGACTGTTTTGCTTGCTTTCTCCCTTAGACATGCCGGGTATGTCGGGCCTGTGGGGCAGGCTCAGGAGAGTTGAACCCCAACTCTGAATGGTTTGAGAACTACTCACTCTGTCACCGCTGCCACAAAGCCCAGGGAGGTCAGGCTGTCAGTTCTGTTGCTGAGCAGCATCCGCCTATCTGTAGCAAGTAAGTGGTGTGAACTGCTTGACGTTGGGAATGAGGGATCAGAAGGACTGAGATCGGCAGGGGCCATGTTAAAGCAAGTGGACTTTTCAAAGGAAAGCCCTAAGGTGGGCAGTGCAAATCATAATATTCACGCCTCGCCCCAGTGTGCTCTCTAAGAGTTCTTAGCTGGCGAGAGCCACAGTGCCTGCTCCCCTGTACCCTCTGCAGATTTTCGCCCCCAGAGCCTGGTGATATCCCCACTGATGAGCCCGATGCTCTGTACGTTGCATGCCAAGGGCAGCCAAAGGGTGGGCACGTGACCTCTATGCAACCCAAGGAACCGGGGCCCCTGCAATGTGAAGCCAAACCACTAGGTGAGTAGGGTTTGAGGGTCCCTGAAATTAATCTTCTGTGGCAAGAGACAGTTTTTGTTTTGCCTTAGACTCTATTCTTGTAGAGTAGATCCGAGCTAGGTAGGACTATTGTGTGTTGTATCTGCAGGGAGAACAGGGGTCCAGCATGAGCCCCAGTTGGAGGCCCCCCTAAATGAGGAGATGCCACTGCTGCCCCCACCTGAGGAATCACCCTTGTCCCCACCACCTGAAGAATCACCCACGTCCCCACCACCTGAGGCCTCCCGCCTGTCTCCGCCACCTGAGGAGTCACCTGCATCCCCGCCGCCTGAGGCCTCACGCCTATCCCCGCCACCTGAAGAGTCACCCCTTTCTCCACCACCTGAGGAGTCTCCTCTGTCTCCCCCACCTGAATCATCACATTTTTCTCCACTGGAGGAGTCGCCCTTCTCTCCACCAGAAGCGTCACCCCCATCTCCGGCACTTGAGACACCCCTGTCTCCACCACCTGACCCTTTGCCCCTGTCTCCGCCATTTGAGGAGTCTCCTTTGTCCCCGCCGCCTGAGGCATTACCTACTTCCCCACCACCTGAAGCCTCTCGCCTGTCACCACCACCTGAGGAGTCACCCATGTCCCCTCCGCCTGAGGAGTCGCCCATGTCTCCACCACCTGAAGCATCTCGTCTGTTTCCACCATTTGAAGAGTCTCCTTTGTCCCCTCCACCGGAGGAGTCTCCCTTGTCCCCACCTCCTGAGGCCTCACGCCTGTCCCCACCCCCTGAGGACTCACCCATGTCCCCACCACCTGAAGACTCACCTATGTCTCCCCCACCTGAGGTGTCATGCCTATTACCCCTGCCTGAGGTGTCACACTTGCCCTCCTTGCCCGAGGTGTCGCGCCTGTCCCCACCATCTGAGGAATCTCCTTTGTCCCCACCACCTGAGGAGTCTCCCACATCACCCCCACCCGAGGCTTCACGCCTATCCCCACCACCGGAGGACTCCCCTAGATCCCCGCTACCTGAAGACTCACCTGCTTCGCCACCACCGGAGGACTTGCTCATGTCCCTGCCGCTGGAGGAGCCACCTCTGTTGCCACTGCCCGAGGAGCTGAGACTGTGCCCCCATCCCGAAGAGCCACATCTGTCACCCCAGCCTGCGGAGCCCCAACTCTGTCCCCAGCCCGAGGAGCCACACCTGTCCCCTCAGCCTGAGGAACTGAGACTGTGCCCCCAGCCCGAGGAGCCGCACCTGTCCCCACAGCCTGAGGAGCCATGCCTGTCTCCTGCGCTTGAAGAGCCGTGTCTGTCCTCCCAGCCAGAGGAGCTGCCCTTGTCCCCTATGCCTGAGGAACCATGCTTGTCCCCCCGGCCTGAGGACCTGCACCTGTCCCCTCAGCCTGAGGAATTGCACCCGTCTTCCCAGCCTGAGGAACCTCAGCTGTCCCCCATACCTAAGGAGCCCCACCTGTCCCCCCAGCCTGAAGAAACACACCTGTCCTCCCCTCAGCCTGAAGAGCCTCCTGAGGAGCCAGGCCAGTGCTCTGCACCTGAGGAATTGCCCTTGTTCTCCCAATCCAGGGAGCCACCCTTATCCCCCTTGCTTGGAGAGCCGGCCCTGTCTGAGCCTGGGGAACCCCCCCTCTACCCTCTACCTGAAGAGCTGCCCTTGTCCCCATCAGGAGAGCCATCCTTGTCACCTCAGCTGATGCCACCAGGTGAGGGGATGTTAGTGCCCCCTTATTCTGGGACAATCTTAAATCTTTATGGCACATCTAATCTAAGCTGTTCTTTTTCTCCCCCAGATCCTCTTCCTCCTCCACTCTCACCCATTATCCCAGCTGCGGCCCCACCAGCCCTGTCTCCTTTGGGGGAGTTAGAGTACCCCTTCGGTGCCAAAGGGGACAGTGACCCTGAGTCGCCATTGCCTGCCCCCATCCTAGAGACACCTATCAGCCCTCCACCAGAAGCTAACTGCACTGACCCTGAGCCTGTGCCCCCAATGATCTTTCCTCCATCCCCAGGCTCCCCAATGGCACCCACTTCTCCCATCCTGATGGAGGCCCTTCCTCCACCATGTTCGCCGCTCCTTCAGCATTCCCTGCATCCCCCCAACTCCCCTCCTTCACAGTGTTCCCCTCCCGCTCTTCCACTGTCCATTCCCTCCCCATTGAGTCCCATGGGGAAGGCAGTGGAGGTCTCAGATGAGGTTGAGCCGAATGAGATGGAGACTGAAAAAGGTCCAGAACCTGAGTGCCCAGCCTTGGAACCCAGTGCCACCAGTCCTCTCCCCTCCCCCATGGGGGACCTGTCCTGCCCTGCCCCTAGCCCTGCCCCAGCCCTGGATGACTTTGCCAGTTTAGGGGAAGATGTAGCCCCTCTGGATGGGACTGATGTCCCTGGTTCACAGTCAGAGGCTGGACAGACCCCTGGCATTTTGGCTAATGAACTTAAAGGTTCCCCTGTGCTCCTGGCCCCTGAGGAGCTGGCCCCTGTGACCCCTATGGAGGTCTATGGCCCAGAATGCAAGCAGACAGGACAGGACTCATCCTGTGAAGAGCAGGAGGAGTCCCGTGTACCAGTGGCTCCTACACCACCTACTCTCATCAAATCTGACATTGTTAATGAGATCTCTAATCTGAGCCAGGGCGATGCCAGTGCCAGTTTTCCTGGCTCAGAACCCCTGCTAGGCTCTCCTGACCCTGAGGGTGGTGGCTCCCTGTCCATGGAGCTGGGGATATCTACAGATGTCAGTCCAGCCCGAGATGAGGGCTCCCTGCGGCTATGTACCGACTCGCTGCCAGAGACTGATGACTCACTATTGTGTGATGCTGGGACGGCTATTGGTGGAAGCAAAGCTGAGGGGGACAAGGGGCGGCGGCGCAGTTCCCCTGCCCGTTCCCGAATCAAACAGGTGAGGGACTGTCTAGCTGTTACCTGAGGTCAAGGTCCTGCACTGTCAGGTACAGTTCTGTGCCACAGACTGATACCCTCACACTTGGTTTACTGAAGCCTAAACTGACTGAGATCCTTTAGTTCAACTTGTTTACTGAGGAGACCACTGATGATAAAAGCAAGTGATTTACCTAGCTTCATGATTGCACAGTAATAGAAATGAGACCACAAACTTGGGTTTCTCAAGTCATTTTTTAATGTTTTGTGCTGTGTTAGCTACTCTTCTTGGGAGAGGGATATGGGTCTGGGGTTGGAGCTCTCTACTTGTTGATTATTTCAACTTTTTTTTTTTCTGTTCAGTGAGACTTCTAGGTTGTTTTTGTTTTCTCATACAGTATCCATTTGTCTTTTTCCTTCCCTCCAAGACTATGAATCCAACATTTGCTTCTATAATTGTCCTCTTCCTTTACTCAGGGGCGTAGCAGTAGTTTTCCAGGAAGACGGCGGCCTCGTGGAGGAGCTCATGGAGGACGTGGGAGAGGACGGGCCCGGTTAAAATCAACCACTTCTTCCATTGAGACTCTGGTAGTAAGAAGAGGCTTCCCATCCTCTAGACATGCTTCACATGGCCCCTTCAAAATTCAGCCCTTAAATTCTGCCAGTTCCCTATTTATTTGCTGTCTACTTGTTAGCCTAGGTCCTGCCTGGCTAAGTCTATACTGTGTACTTGGCCCCTAGGCTTTTCTGAAGTCTCTGCCATTGAGCAGGGTCCCAGTTAGAGAGCTGGGGGTTTCTTTTGCTGCTTAGTTTTAGGGTCTGGCCTTCTTAGCCAGGAGTTCATACCTCCTTCCCCAATACCAAAGAGGAAGTTAGCTTAGTTGGAGCAGACTTAACCTTCCTCACTTTTCTTTCCACAATTCTCTGTCTATAAGGTGGCTGATATCGATAGTTCACCCAGCAAAGAGGAGGAGGAAGAAGATGATGACACCATGCAAAATACTGTGGTTCTTTTCTCCAACACAGACAAATTTGTTCTAATGCAGGTACCATATTTCGCTAGGGCAGTCCCATTCTTGGCAGAAAGAGTTGACATACTAATCGTGTGTTTGTGTGTGTGTGTGTGTGTGTATTGATGGGAAGGTAGATGGGAAACTCAGGGATTACTTTTGGGGCCACTAGTTAATGAGAAAGCAGAAAATGAATCAATGAATTAATCCCACATAGCAGTAGTATCAAAACTTGTGTCACCCAGGGAGCCTAGAATAATCTCGGAACTGGTAGAAATTTGTACTTTCATAACTATCATTTGAGCAGTCTTGTCTGTCTTCATGTAATTTTTTTCTTCCATGTATCCATGTCAGAGTTGATAAATTCAAATTACCTGATCAAAGAAGCAAGCTGCATAGGGAGGCACAGTTCTCTGGTTGTATAGGAAGTATAGAGTTCTCTTAAGTGTCTTAATGCTGTGGGATGTGCTTCTGACCTCTGATCTCAGAGTAGTGTTGTAGGACTTGGCTGTGATGACAGGGTAGGATGAGACTTGATTAGATGTCCATATTTCTGTGTTTTCCCAGGATATGTGTGTGGTATGTGGCAGCTTTGGCCGGGGGGCAGAGGGCCACCTCCTGGCCTGTTCACAGTGCTCTCAGTGCTATCATCCTTACTGTGTCAACAGCAAGGTGAGTTCAGGGCCCAATGACACTGGGAAACAGTATCATTACCCTAGTGCCCTGTTCTGGCCACACTACTTTTTCTTATAGTGTATATTAATTGTACAAATGAATTTCATCATTATACTTCCATACGTGTATGTAACTTATTTGATCGAATTATCTTTCATGGCCCCACTGTTTTACCCCCAGTACTGGAGCTTGAATTCAGGATCTTGATACCTTACTTGGCTTTCTTACTCACACCTGGTACTCTGTTACTTGAGCAATACCTCCAGTCCAGCATTTTGCTGGTTAATTGGAGATGGAATCTTGTAGGATTTTCTACCTGGGATACCTTTGAACTATGATCTTTTAGGTCTTAGCCTTCTCCCTATTACTTCTTAAAGTAAATGTGGCTTCTGGAAGTCTTTCATAGAGAAATGCTTTGGAACTCAGCGAATACTTTATAATTTTTATGGTAAACAAAATCATGATATAACTCAGTCCATCATAAATAATGACAAATCCAGGTGCTAGTGGCTCATTTCTATAATCTTAACTACTCAAGAAGATGAGATCAAAGGGTCAAGGTTTGAAGCCAGCTCATGCAAGAAATTCTGTGACACTTACCTCCAATTAACTATCAAATCCTCCAATAGAGCTGTGGCTCAAGTGGTAAAATGCCAGCCTTGAGCAAAGAAGCAAAGGGACAGCTCCTAGACCCTGAGTTCAAATGCTAGTACTGGCACAAAACAAAACAAAACAAAAAGCTACTAATTGAAGATACATACAGTATATACTGGAAATGGAACAAAATCAAAACCATAAGGCATATCCACAAAGGGAAAGCCATGTATTTGACCTAAGCATGAGTTGTCATTTGAAGGTTTCAATAGTACTATTAGGTGAGTTAATCTACTGCTAATAATCACTAACTTGTATTTAATTAACAGGTTCTAAGAGTTCAAAAAATTTAAGGAAATACAGGTAGCTGTGTCCCCAGTATTGTCAGGCACACATGGTTAAGTGATGTTGTTATTTCCCTCTCAAAATGAGGCAGTAGCTAGTGAGGCTGTTCTGTGATCAGCAGACACCTCTGGAAACCTGTTTTTATTTATTTACTTATTTTTTATGTATTTATTTTTTGGCCAGTCTTGGGGCTTGAACTCAGGGCCTGGGCACTGTCCCTGAGCTTCTTTTGCTCAAGGCTAGCACTCTACCACTTGAACCACAGCACTTCTTCTGGCTTTTTCTGTTTACGTGATACTGAGGAATGGAACCCAGGGTTTCATGTATGCTAGGCAAGCACTGTACGTACCACTCAGCCACATTCCCAGTCTGGGAACCTGCTTTTTAGAACCACCGTTTTGTTGGTGAGAGTTCTCTATAAGCCTCCCTCTGTTGAGTTCTGGTTTTGGGGTTCTCCCAGCCTGATAAAAGTTCTGCCCCCCCCCTCCACCCCTGAGGTATTCTGTCTTCCATACCAGATCACCAAGGTGATGCTGCTAAAGGGATGGCGTTGTGTGGAGTGTATCGTGTGTGAAGTGTGTGGCCAGGCCTCCGACCCTTCACGCCTGCTGCTTTGTGATGACTGTGACATTAGCTACCACACATACTGCCTGGATCCCCCACTGCTCACTGTGCCCAAGGGCGGCTGGAAGTGCAAGTGGTAAGGAGACCTGGGAGCTTCCAAGGAGCTTGAAAGGATAGAGTGTCTGGATCTTGCATACATGACAGAGGCTGTGTTTAGGAGGCTCAGCTGCTTGTTTAGTTATCATTGGGGACTCCTCCAGATTTGGATTCCTTGGGTAGGTTAGGTGCTAAGTCTTTCTTTCTGCCCCTACCAGGTGTGTGTCTTGTATGCAGTGTGGGGCCGCCTCCCCTGGCTTCCACTGTGAATGGCAAAATAGTTATACACATTGTGGGCCCTGCGCTAGCCTGGTGACCTGCCCTGTTTGTCATGCTCCATATGTGGAAGAGGACCTGCTAATTCAGTGCCGCCACTGTGAACGGTAGAAGCCGCCCTTTACCCCTTTAAGTCAGCCTTACTCCACACTGTCAGCCTGGCATTACCTGTGCTCATCCTCCTTCGTCCACTTTTCCTAGGTGGATGCATGCTGGCTGCGAGAGCCTCTTCACAGAGGATGATGTGGAACAGGCAGCTGATGAGGGCTTTGACTGTGTCTCCTGCCAGCCCTATGTGGTAAAGCCTATAGGTGAGTACCAGGAATTAGGAGGAGGAGGAGGAGACAAGGTAGTTGTTTCTGGATTAGGGACAATGCCTCAAGTTGCCATGGTTTGTCTTTTCCACAGTACCTGTTGCCCCACCAGAATTGGTGCCTATGAAGGTGAAAGAACCAGGTAAGTTAGGGAAATTTTGAATGCCAAAACTAGATAAGACTTTAGGTACCATCTCTTCTGGTTCCAACACATTCCAACTTCATCTCCTCATTTTAAAGGAGAACTAAGACCCAAAGAGGTTGAATGGCCTACCCGGTTTCAGTGTCACCTAGGAAGTTAGTGGCAAGTTAGAACCAAGACTTTGAGGTTCCTGGACACTCTTCCTTTCACCAGGCAACAGGATTTCTTCACTACCAGCAACTCATCTCTAGAGAGCACGTCTCTTCTCAGTGAAGGGGAATAGGGCTATCTCCTCCATCAGGATGCAGGCACTACTTCTGGCATCTGGGACACTGTGTGCCAGAATTCAGCAAGTAGCATCCTTCTTGTCCCCTGATAGGGAATTCATTTGGTGAACCTAAAGTTAATCCTGAGCAAAGCCAGGCTTCTAAAGTCACAGATCCTGTGTGAATCCCTTGAGTCACTGATGAAAACTCAGGCCTTAGCCAGTGCCCCTTGGTGGCTTAAGGTCAAGCTGGACTTTCTGTCACTGCTTTTATATCAACTGAGAACATAGGTTGAAATTTGGGGTCCTTGTTTCCGTGGGCCTCCATCCAGAGATCACATTCTTTCCCCTTGTCAGAGCCCCAGTACTTTCGCTTTGAGGGTGTGTGGCTGACAGAAACGGGCATGGCTGTGCTGCGTAACCTGACCATGTCACCACTGCATAAGCGGCGCCAGCGGCGAGGGCGGCTTGGCCTTCCAGGAGAGGCAGGGCTGGAAGGTTCTGAACCCTCAGATGCTCTTGGGCCTGAAGACAAGAAGGATGGAGAACTGGACACTGATGAGCTGCTCAAGAGCGAAGGTTGGGCCAGGGAATCTCAGGAAGAGGCAAAGCATGTGGGAGTTGGGATGTTGGGTGGGGGCTGCATTACCACTCTTGCTCTCCCCACCAGCATTGTTTGTCTTATCCAGTTGGCTCTGTGGCAAGGTACTGGTCTTACTGGTCTCCGTCTGGCAGGATGACAAGTTAAAGTGCCTATGTCTCTGATGTGCCTCTTTCACCATATACAGGTGGTGTGGAGCACATGGAATGTGAAATTAAACTGGAGGGCCCCGCCAGCCCTGATGTGGAGCCTGGCAAAGAGGAGACTGAAGAAAGCAAAAAACGCAAGCGCAAACCTTATCGACCTGGTAAGCTCCTGGGGTGAGGAGGTTGGGTGGTAAAGGGCAGTTCACCAGGTCCCCCGCAGCTTCTCACGAGTTCTGCCTCCTCATAGGCATTGGTGGCTTTATGGTGCGACAACGGAAATCTCACACACGCGTGAAAAAGGGGCCTGCTGCACAGGCGGAGGTGTTGAGTGGGGATGGGCAGCCCGACGAGGGTGAGACGGGTGAGGGCACCAGTGGGACCTGGGAGATGGTGGGGGTCACAGAACCCATGGGGCATTGCCAGGGAGGTTTGGGCTGGGGGCTCACTGCGGCAGTCAAGAGAGTGGTGGACCTAGTTAGCTTTGGGGAAAAGAATAGACTGAAAATGATTCCCAATGGAGTTGGGCACAGCATGCTCTATCCCCAGGGAGCCTGATCCACTTTGCTCTGTCCATAGTGATGCCTGCCGATCTGCCTGCAGAGGGCTCTGCAGAACAGAGCCTTGCTGACGGGGATGAGAAGAAGAAGCAGCAACGAAGAGGGCGCAAGAAGAGCAAACTAGAGGATATGTTCCCTGCTTACCTGCAGGTGGGTTTTGAGTTCCAAAGGTTTCAGGGGGTGAGGAGGGGAAGAAGTGTTGCTATGGCTCAAGTGATAGAGCATTCACCTTGAGCTGAAGAGCTCAGGGACAGTGCCCAGGCCCAGAGTTCAAGCCCCATGACCAAAGGCGGGGGGGAGGGGGGCGGGGAGGGAATCGGGCTAGGATGCTGGCTCAGTGGTAGAGTGCTTGCCTTGCACGCATGAGGCCCTGGGTTCGATTCCTCAGCACCACATAAGCAAAAAGAAAAAAGCCGGAAGTGGCACTGTGGCTCAAGTGGTAGAGCGCTAGCCTTGAGCTGAAGAGCTGAGGGACAAGATTTGGGGAAAGTATCAGTGCCCATAGGGCATCAAGAAACTGTTTCTCTTGGGGGGGGAGGGGGGAGGCTGGGAAGGGATGTGAAGGGTAAACCAAAGGAGGAGGCTGCAATGCTTGGTAAGAAATGTACGCATTATCCTGCCCATGTAATTGTAACTCCTCTGTACAGTATGTTCACAAATAAAAAATAAATAAATTAAAAAAAAAAAAAAAAGAAACTGTTTCTCCTGATTCTTCCCACAGGAAGCCTTCTTTGGGAAAGAGTTGCTGGACCTGAGCCGGAAGGCCCTTTTTGCAGTTGGGGTAGGCCGACCAAATTTGGGACTAGGAACTTCAAAACCCCGGGGAGATGGAGGCTCAGACAGGAAGGATCTCCCTACATTGCAAAAAGGTTAGTTATGTGGAGATGAAGTGGTGTGAAGAGATCCAGCCTGCCTCTTGCTCAGGAGCTGACAAAGGTGTCTGGAGGAGAAAGGGACTGGGTCTCTATGTGTTAAGGGTAGGCTAAGGGCCCTGACCTGTGAGGTTAGGGACCCATTGTGAGCAATGGATATTGTGTATCACTGATGGGAGTGGAAACTGTTGCTTGTAGGAGATGATGGTCCAGATGCTGCAGATGAAGAGTCACGTGGTCCTGAAGGCATGGCTGATACACCAGGTAAGAATCAATGGGGGAGGGTCTGGGAAGGTGGCTCAGTGGTAGAGTGCTTGCCTTGCACGCATGAGGCCCTGGGTTCGATTCCTCAGCACCACATAAGCAAAAAGAAAAAAGCCGGAAGTGGCACTGTGGCTCAAGTGGTAGAGCGCTAGCCTTGAGCTGAAGAGCTGAGGGACAGCGCCCAGGCCCAGAGTTCAGGCCCCACGACCGGACCCCCCCCCAAAAAAAAAAAAAGAATCAATGAGGAAATATGTCCTGACTTGGCTTTGCATCTACCAGTCTGTTCTTCCCCTAGAGGCTAGACACTGTTCTTTGCCTTGCTGTGCTTCATGGTGGGCTTGGCTGATGGGTTTTTCTTGGCAATTGCAGGACCTGAGGATGGGGGTGTAAAGGCATCCCCAGTACCCAGTGACCCTGAGAAGCCAGGCACCCCAGGTGAAGGGATGCTTAGCTCTGACTTAGACAGGATTCCTACAGAAGGTGAGACTGAGAAGTCATCTTCAAGGGTCCCCCTTTGGAACGCAGAAGGTCCTAACTATGGGACTGATCTGTATAGCTTTCATGGGGAATCCTGACCATCCCTTCTGGCTGTGACCATTTGTACATCTAAAGTGTCCTGTGAACCTCTTAAGTCTTCCTCAGCAGTGTCCTTGATCATTTCCCCATAGAGCTACCCAAGATGGAGTCCAAGGACCTACAGCAGCTCTTTAAAGATGTCCTGGGTTCTGAACGAGAGCAGCATCTGGGTTGTGGAACTCCTGGCCTAGAAGGGAGCCGTACACCACTGCAGAGGCCCTTTCTCCAAGGTGATAAGACAGAGAGAGTGTCTTAAAGACTGCTGTGGTTGAATTTGTTCCCTAAGTAGCTACTTACTTCCTTTTCTCTGATACTGTCCTTTTTATAGGTGGACTCCCTTTGGGCAATCTATCTTCCAGCAGCCCAATGGATTCCTATCCAGGCCTCTGCCAGTCTCCCTTCCTGGATTCTAGGTTGGTATCTGCACTCAACTTCTAGGGGTAGTCCCTGTTGTCCCTCCCCTCCAGCCTGGTTCCTACCTTGCCTCCTAGATCACTGTAGTGACTGCCGCTCCCATTCTCTTGTTAGTGGCCACACTGTTGAGGCAGGGCAGTGGCCTAGGGCTCTGGGCTGTTTGTCTAGGGTGGGTTGTGGCATCCCTACCCCCTGTGACTCTCTGCCCCTGCGCCCCAGGGAGCGCGGGGGCTTCTTTAGCCCAGAACCCGGTGAGCCAGACAGCCCCTGGACAGGATCAGGAGGCACCACACCTTCCACACCTACCACCCCTACCACAGAGGGTGAGGGCGATGGGCTCTCCTATAACCAGCGGAGTCTACAGCGTTGGGAGAAGGACGAGGAGTTGGGCCAGCTCTCCACCATCTCGCCTGTGCTCTATGCCAACATTAACTTTCCTAATCTCAAGCAAGATTATCCAGGTACCTGTGGGAAGAGGGCGAGAGAGACACTCTGGGAGCTTAAAAGGTGGAGGGGTCACCTGCTGAGACTTCTCTAACTCAGACCTTTTGCCTTCCAGACTGGTCTAGCCGTTGCAAACAAATCATGAAGCTCTGGAGAAAAGTTCCAGCTGCTGACAAAGCCCCCTACCTGGTAAATCAGAAAAGAACATAAGCTATCCTGGGAGCCAAAATGGAGGGAGATGTCCCTAGGACATTCACCCTTAGTGCCGTTAAAGCAACTGAGCAAGGAGTTTGAGTAACACTCTAAAGGATGAGGGTGGGATTGAGATGTGAGTGCTAAGCCATACATGTGTCCTATGTCCCTCAGCAAAAGGCCAAAGATAACCGAGCTGCTCATCGCATCAACAAGGTGCAGAAGGTGAGTGGAGTTTGGGCTGGTCCAAGCCATCAAGGTTACCAACTGTATGGCTTCTTTATAGGGGGAGAGTGTGGGTCCTGCCTCTAAGAGTCTGATTGCTTTGTGCTTGCTCTCCTCCTGTAGCAGGCTGAGAGCCAGATCAACAAGCAGACCAAGGTGGTTGACATAGCCCGTAAGACTGATCGACCGGCCCTCCATCTCCGCATCCCTCCCCAGCCAGGGGCACTGGGCAGTCCGCCCCCCGCTGCGGCCCCCACCATTTTCATTGGCAGCCCCACTACCCCCGCCAGCTTGTCTACCTCTGCGGATGGGTTCTTGAAGCTGCCAGCGGGCACGGTGCCCGGCCCCGACTCACCTGGTGAGCTCTTCCTCAAGCTCCCGCCCCAGGTGCCTGCCCAAGTGCCTTCGCAGGACCCCTTTGGACTGGCCCCTGCCTACGCCCTGGAGCCCCGCTTTCCTGCAGCACCACCCACCTATCCCCCTTATCCAAGTCCAACTGGGGCTCCCACACAGCCCCCGATGCTGGGTGCCTCATCTCGCCCAGGGACTGGCCAGCCGGGGGAATTCCACACCACCCCACCTGGCACCCCTCGACACCAGCCCTCTACACCTGACCCCTTCCTCAAACCCCGCTGCCCTTCACTGGACAACCTGGCTGTGCCTGAGAGCCCAGGGGGAGCAGGAGGCAAAACTTCCGAGCCCCTGCTCTCACCCCCACCTTTTGGGGAATCCCGGAAGGCCCTAGAGGTGAAGAAGGAAGAGCTTGGGGCATCCTCTCCTAACTATGGGCCCCCAAACCTGGGCTTTGTTAATTCACCCTCCTCAGGCCCCCACCTTGGTGGCCTGGAGTTAAAGGCACCTGATGTCTTCAAAGCCCCCCTGACCCCTCGGGCATCTCAGGTAGAGCCCCAGAGCCCAGGCCTAGGCCTACGGCCTCAGGAGCCACCCCCTGCCCAGGCTTTGGCCCCTTCTCCTCCCAACCACCCAGAGGTCTTTCGCCCTGGTCCCTACCCTGACCCCTATGCTCAGCCCCCATTGACCCCTCGGCCCCAACCCCCGCCTCCTGAGAGCTGCTGTGCCCTACCCCCTCGCTCATTGCCTTCAGACCCTTTCTCCCGAGTGCCAGCTAGTCCTCAGTCCCAGTCCAGCTCCCAGTCACCACTGACCCCTCGTCCTTTGTCCACTGAGGCTTTCTGCCCGTCCCCTGTTACCCCTCGTTTCCAATCCCCCGACCCTTATTCTCGCCCACCCTCACGCCCTCAGTCCCGTGACCCATTTGCCCCATTGCATAAGCCACCTCGGCCCCAGCCCCCTGAAGTTGCCTTTAAGGCTGGGCCTCTAGCCCACACTCCGCTGGGGGCTGGGGGCTTCCCAGCAGCCCTGCCCTCAGGACCAGCAGGTGAGCTCCATGCCAAGGTTCCAACTGGGCAGCCCCCCAGTTTTGCCCGCTCTCCTGGGACAGGTGCATTTGTGGGTACCCCCTCTCCTATGCGTTTCACTTTTCCCCAGGCTGTAGGGGATTCTTCCCTAAAGCCCCCTGTCCCTCAGCCTGGTCTCCCTCCACCCCATGGGATCAACAGCCATTTTGGGCCTGGCCCCACCTTGGGCAAGCCTCAAAGCACAAACTATACAGGAGCCACTGGGAACTTCCATCAATCGGGCAGCCCTCTGGGGCCCAACAGTGGGTCTTCAGGGGAGGGCTATGGGCTGTCCCCACTACGCCCCACATCTGTTCTACCACCACCTGCACCGGACGGATCCCTCCCCTACCTGTCCCATGGAGCCTCACAGCGGGCAGGCATCACCTCTCCAGTTGAAAAGAGAGAAGACCCAGGGGCTGCAATGAGTAGCTCTTTGGCAGTACCTGAACTCCCCAGTACCCAGGATCCAGGCATGTCCACCCTTAGTCAGACTGAGCTGGAGAAACAACGACAGGTAAGTGAACATCCTGGAGCGGAGTGGCCCCCTGTCTGCCCCTACCCCCTGTCTATGCCAGCCCCATCTGTGGTCAGAAGATAATGGGATTACTTCTCTTTTCTGTTTTCTGCACAGCGCCAGCGATTACGGGAGCTACTTATTCGGCAGCAGATCCAGCGCAATACCCTGAGACAAGAGAAGGAAACAGCTGCAGCAGCTGCAGGTGCACTGGGGCCCTCGAGCAACTGGGGTGCTGAGCCCAGCAGCCCTGCCTTTGAGCAGCTGAGTCGAGGCCAGACCCCCTTCACTGGGACCCAGGTAGGTAGAGTGGCAAGAGATGTTGGGGCCAAGATCCTGAAGGTAGCCTTACCTTCAGCTATACTTCTGACTTCTAGGACAAGAGCAACCTTGTGGGGTTACCCCCAGGCAAGCTAGGTGGCCCTGTCATGGGATCAGGGGCCTTCCCCAGCGATGATCGTCTCTCCCGGCCACCTCCATCCGCGACACCTTCCACTATGGATATGAACAGCAGGTGAGGCTCGAGGAGGTTCCTTGCAGGGTAAACCAAAAGATCCAGTTTTACCAACATTGCATGTCCCCTCTGGACTTTCCCCTTACACTGATCCTTTCCTGATGTCATTTACTCTTCCTCCTCATTCCTTCCCCCTCACTGTTTTCATTTGGTCCTTCCTCACTGCCCTGAGCCCCTGTTGTAGTTCTCCATCTTGATTTCATCTCACTGACTTACTGCATATTCTTCCAGGCAACTGGTAGGAGGCTCTCAGGCCTTCTATCAGCGCACGCCCTATCCTGGGTCCCTGCCCTTACAGCAGCAACAGCAGCAGCAGCAGCAGCAACAATTGTGGCAGCAACAGCAGCAGCAGCAACAGCAGCAGCAACAACAACAACAACAAGCAACAACAGCAACCTCTATGCGACTTGCTATGTCTACTCGCTTTCCATCAACTCCTGGACCTGAACTTGGCCGCCAAGCACTAGGCTCTCCCATGGCAGGAATTCCTGCTCGCCTGCCAGGCCCTGCCGAGCCAGTTCCTGGTCCTGCTGGTCCTGCCCAATTCATTGAGTTACGACACAATGTACAGAAAGGACTAGGACCTGGGGGGTCTCCATTTCCAGGTCAGGGTCCCCCTCAGAGGCCTCGTTTTTACCCTGTAAGTGAGGACCCTCATCGACTGGCTTCTGAAGGGCTTCGTGGCCTGGCAGTAACAGGCCTTCCCCCACAAAAACCCTCGGCCCCACTGGCTCCTGAATTGAACAACAACCTCCATGCAACCCCACACACCAAGGGTCCTGCCATGCCAGCTGGCTTAGAGCTGGTCAGTCGGCCCCCATCAAGTGCTGAGCTTGGCCGCCCCCCTCCTCTGACCTTGGAGACTGGGAAATTGCCCTGTGAAGATCCTGAGCTGGATGATGACTTTGATGCTCACAAGGCTCTAGAGGATGATGAAGAGCTCGCTCACCTAGGCCTGGGTGTGGATGTAGCCAAGGGTGATGATGAATTGGGTACCCTGGAAAACCTGGAGACTAATGATCCCCACCTGGATGACCTGCTCAATGGAGATGAGTTTGACCTACTGGCATATACCGACCCTGAGCTAGACACTGGGGACAAGAAGGACATCTTCAATGAGCACCTAAGGCTGGTAGAGTCAGCAAATGAGAAGGCTGAGAGAGAGGCTCTGCTTCGGGGCGTAGAGCCAGGACCTTTGGGCCCCGAGGATCGCCCACCCCCTGCCACTGATAACACAGAGTCCCGCCTGGCATCTGTGCTCCCTGAGGTGAAGCCCAAGGTAGAGGAGGGTGGACGTCATCCTTCCCCTTGCCAATTCACCATTACCACCCCCAAGGTCGAGCCAGCATCTGCTACTTCTCTTGGCCTGGGGCTGAAGCCAGGACAGAGTGTGATGGGGAGCCGGGATACCCGGATGGGCACAGGGCCATTTTCCAGCAGTGGGCACACAGCTGAGAAAGGTCCCTTTGGGGCCACAGGAGGCCCACCAGCTCACCTGCTAACTCCCAGCCCACTTAGTGGCCCAGGAGGATCCTCTCTTCTGGAGAAGTTTGAGCTGGATACTGGGGGCCTGACTTTGCCTGGTGGGCAGACAACATCTGGGGATGAATTGGACAAGATGGAGAGCTCACTGGTAGCCAGTGAGTTGCCCCTGCTCATTGAGGACCTGTTGGAGCATGAGAAGAAGGAGTTGCAAAAGAAGCAGCAACTTTCAGCACAGCTACAGCCTGCCCAACAGCAACAGCAGCAGCAACAACATTCCCTGATGTCCACACCAGGTCCTGCCCAGACCATGCCTTTGCCACATGAGGGCTCTTCTCCCAGCTTGGCTGGGCCTCAGCAGCAGCTTGCCCTGAGTCTTGGAAGTTCCCGACAACAAGGATTGAGCCAGCCATTGATGCCAGCACAGGCGCCACCTCATGCCCTCCAGCAGCGGCTGGCTCCATCCATGGCCATGGTGTCTAACCAAGGGCATATGCTAAGTGCACAGCATGGGGGGCAGACAGGCTTGGTGCCTCAGCAGAGCCAACAGCCAATGCTACCACAGAAGCCCCTGGGCACCATGCCACCTTCCATGTGCATGAAGCCCCAGCAGCAAGCCATGCAGCAGCAGCTGGCAAACAGCTTCTTTCCAGATACAGGTAATATCAACTCTTAGCATAGTTGAGTTACTAAGAATTGATCTTTGTTATTAGTAACCTTAAGCCCTAGTAAAGAGAGCGAGAGCCGGGCGCCGGTGGCTCACGCCTATAATCCTAGCTACTGAGGAGGCTGAGATTTGAAGATCACGGTTCAAAGCCAGCCCGGGCAGAAAAGTCCGTGAGACTCTTATCTCCAATTAACCACCAGAAAACTGGAAGTAGCGCTGTGGCTCAAGCAGCAAAGCGCTCGCCTTGAGCTGAAGAGCGCAGGGATAGCGCCCAAGCCTAGAGTTCAAGCCCCATGACCGACCAAAAAAAAAAAAGAGAGAGAGGACACAAAAGAGGTTTGGCTAAACACCAAAGCTAGTGTAGTTAAGAGCATGGTAGCTTTTAACAAGAGAATTGACAGACAGGCTGGCGTTGATGACTATAATCCTAGCGGACATCAGCCTGGGCAGGAAAGTCCATGAAACGCTTTATCTCTAATTAAACTACCTGAAAACCACAAGTGGAGTTGTGGCTCAACCTGGTAGAGTGCTAGCCTTGAGCAAAAAAGCTCAGGGCCCGTACCCAGGCCTGCCATGAGTTTAAGCCCCATAGTGACCAAAAAAAGAGGGGGATGAGGGTGGCAGAGTGACATTTCTGACATGTAGCAGGCATTCAGATGTCTGAATAAACTAATGGAATGAATGAATAAAACCTGATCAGCAAAGGCTTTGTCGCTATGGTCAGGCTGGGAGTTTAGGACTTGGAAAAAAAGAGGTAAAGGAAAACCAATCCAGGTAAGTGAGAAGGTGGAGATTGTTTTTGCCTCACTTGGGAAAATCTGTGGAATGTTTGGAGATGAGTGAAGTAGTGTAGAGAAGTGAGGCTGGGCTTGCTGATTGCTCAGCAGCACATAAGCAGAAAAAGTCGGGAGTGGTGCTATGGTTCAAGTGGTAGAGCGCTAGCCTTAAGCTGAAGAGCTGAGGGACAGCGCCTAGGCCCAGAGTTCAGGTCCCATGACTGACCAAAAAAAAAAGTGAGGCAGTTGATTTTGGAAAGAACTAGAAGCCTGTGGGTATGGCTTGAGTGGTAAAATACCAGCTTAACTAGCATGAAACCCTGAGTTCAAACCCCAGGACTGCCTAAAAAAAAGTAGAGCCATATTGTGGAAGACCAATTATAACATAGTTATAGTAATTACTATTTGACAAGCAGTGCTTTATCCTCATTGTCTATTTTTATCATCTCAACAGACTCATTAAATAGGTAAACTGTTCTCTTTGATTACAGAGAAGAAACAGTAAGTAGCAGACTAGATCTGCTTTCTGGTAGTTTTCTTAACTGCCTCACAATTCTGGACCAGTGAGATGGGTTAATCCATTAGAATGTGGAGAATCAGTTAAATTTTCTGAGCAGTGTAGTGAAGCTATCTATAAAGTACAGAATTTTAGGAAGATTTTATTTGGAGAAATGGTTATTTATCTGTCTAATCTATCTCTATCTGTGCCAGTCCTGGGTCTTGAACTCAGTACTTGGGTGCTGTTCCTGAGCTTTTTTGCTCAGGAACAGCTTTTTTGCTCAGTTGTGGCACTTGAGCCACAACTCTACTTCAAGACTTTTTGCTGGTTAATTGGAGATAAGAGTCTCATGAGCTTTCCTATTGTGGCTGGCTTTGAATCATAATCTTCAGATTTTTGTCTCTTGAGTAGCTAGGGCTATAGTAGCTAGGTGCCATTGGCACCTAGTCATTGTCATAGCCTTCTCGGCTGCCTTCTTCCTCTTCCTCCTCCTTCTCCTCCTCCTCCTCCTCCTCTTCTACTTCTTCCTCCTCCTCTTCCTCTTCCTCCTCCTCTTCTTCCTCCTCTTCTTCCTCCTCCTCTTCCTCTTCTTACCTCTTCCTTCTCCTTCCTTCTCCTTCTTTCTCTCCTCCTCCTCCTCCCTCCTCCTCTTTCTTCCCCCCTTCTCGTCCTCCTCATTCTTCTCCTTCTTTTGTCAGTCATGGGGTCTAAACTCTGGGCCTGGATGCTGTCCCTCAGCTCTTCAGCTCAAGGCTCTACCCCTCTACCGCTTGAGCCATAGTGCCACTTCTGGCTTTTTCTGCTTATGTGGTGCTGAGGAATTGAACCCAGAGCCTCATGCATGCAAGGCAAGCAATCTACCACTGAGCCACCTTCCCAGCCCCTTCTTATTCTTCTTATTTTGTGGTGCTGGTACAGGGGTTTGAACTTAAGACCTTATCTTGATCAGCTTTTTCACTCCACTCTTTTTTTTTTTGGTCAGCCGTGGGGCTTGAACTCTAGGCTTGGGTGCTGTCTCTCAGCTCTTCAGCTCAAGGCTAGTGCTCTACCACTTGAGCCACAGCGCCATTTCTGGCTTTTTGGTGGTATAGTGGAGATAAGAGTTTCATGGTCTTTCCTGCCTAGGCTGGCTTTGAACCAAGATCCTCAGATCTCAGCCCCCTGAGTAGCTAGGATTACAGGCATGAGCCACCAGCACCTGGCTTTTACTCCACTCTTTTGCGTACTGTTGGTGGTCTACACTGGAGCCACATCTCCATTTTTAGTTTTTTGCTGGATAATGGGAGATAAGAGTCTTGTGGATTTTCTTCCCCAGCTGGCTCCAAACCATGATCCTCAGACCTCAGTCTCCTGAGTAGCTAAGATTATAAGTGTGAACCACCAACACTATTTTTTGTTGTTGTTGTTGTCTTTAAATTTTATTTTATTGTAAGGGTGATTAATGTACAGAGGGGTTACAGTTACATAAGTAAGGTAATGAGAACATTTCTTGTTGAACATTGTTACCTCTTCCTTGTTTCCTCCCACTTTTCCTCAACCTGACTCCCCTCCTCCCCTTTTTTTTGAGACAAGGTCTCACTATGTAGCTGAAGCTGACTTGTAACTTAGGATCCTCCTGTCTCAGCTTCTCAAGTGCTAGTATTGTAGAGCTAGCCACCATGCCCAGCTTTACTTCTCTCTTAAAACACAAACATAAAACCAGCAACAAAAAAATAGGACTGATAGAACAATAAGTTATTAGGTAATTCCTTTTTGTGTCCCAAACAGCTCTACATCTAGAGCTTTGCCAGAGTGCACACATTCTTGGATTCTAGGTATTCTAGTTGCACTAAGTATACTACTTTGATAAGTACTTTTCACTTCAGAGAGTGTACCCACATACATATGTTACGCATAGTTCTCTGTTGCTCCATTAGGTAGGCTGACTAAGGATCCTGATCTGTATCAAATAGAGTTAAACTGAGGCCTAGAGTAGTAAAGTGATGTCGATCTGTTAACAGATATTTACTGACTCTTCCTTGTACAGTGCAAGGAAAAACAGGACCACATATCCTGGGAATAATAGAGCTATATCACCAGGCTATCTGGCTCCTAGTTTAATGGCCCTTCTGCTGGGCTGTGCCATTGTTCTGTGTGCCTTGGTGAAAGTCAAGATGTTAGAATACAATGAAGCATTGATTACCCCCCCCTCCTCAAAAAAAAAACAACAAAAAAAAACCCCAGCTCATTTGGTTCATCCCTTGCCAGATCTGGACAAATTTGCTGCAGAAGATATCATTGATCCTATTGCAAAGGCCAAGATGGTAGCTTTGAAAGGCATCAAGAAAGTGATGGCTCAGGGCAGCATTGGAGTGGCACCTGGCATGAACAGGTAAGACTGGGATGTGGTGAGGCTGGCACTTGTCTTTCCCAGCCATATTTCCCTTCTTGACTTTGCCTTCTCCAACACTTAATCCTCCGTGCTTTTTATGAACTGCAGGCAGCAAGTGTCACTGCTAGCTCAGAGGCTTTCTGGGGGATCCAGCAGTGATCTGCAGAACCATGTGACTCCTGGAAGTGGGCAAGTAAGTGATGGTGGTGGAGTAAGAACTTAGGTATTTTGCTGTAGGGATGCTGTTCTTAGGACCTGGCATGGAACAATGACCTTTTAGCAGTTTCTCCCATCACAGGAGCGGAATGCCAGTGATCCCTCCCAGCCTCGTCCTAATCCACCTACTTTTGCCCAGGGAGTGATCAGTGAGTATAAGGCATAGAAGGAAAGAGTGCACGGAAGTTGTTAGAGAACCTATATTGAGAGAGGGATCAGAGTCACCATTTTTTCAGGTCTTGACACCCCCATTTTGTCTCTCAGATGAGGCTGACCAGCGGCAGTATGAAGAGTGGTTGTTCCACACCCAGCAACTTCTACAGATGCAGCTGAAGGTGCTAGAGGAGCAGATTGGTGTGCACCGTAAGTCCCGGAAGGCTCTGTGTGCCAAGCAGCGCACTGCCAAAAAGGCTGGTCGTGAGTTCCCTGAAGCTGATGCTGAGAAGCTAAAGTTGGTTACAGAGCAGCAGAGCAAGATCCAGAAACAACTTGATCAGGTAGGGGAAAGCAAACTTCAGCTTAGCACCCAGAATCCAGGCACAAGAGATGGCATGGGTGGGCAGGCTCTAGACTGACTTCTCTGATCCTCCAGGTCCGGAAACAGCAAAAGGAGCACACTAACCTTATGGCAGAATATCGAAACAAACAGCAGCAGCAACAGCAGCAGCAACAGCAGCAGCATTCGGCCGTACTGGCTCTCAGCCCTTCTCAGAGTCCACGGCTACTCTCAAAACTCCCTGGCCAGCTACTTCCTAGCCATGGGTTGCAACCACCACAGGGGCCCCCAGGTGGGCAAGCCGGAGGTCTTCGCCTGCCCCCTGGGGGTATGGTCCTACCTGGACAGCCTACTGGCCCCTTCCTCAACACAGCCCTCGCCCAACAGCAGCAACAGCAGCATTCTGGTGGGGCTGGATCATTGGTTGGCCCCTCAGGGGGCTTCTTCCCTGGTAATCTTGCTCTCCGCAACCTGGGACCTGACTCAAGGCTCTTACAGGAAAGGCAGCTACAGCTACAGCAACAGCGTATGCAGTTGGCCCAGAAACTGCAGCAGCAGCAGCAACAGCAACAACATCTCCTAGGACAGGTGGCAATGCAGCAACAGCAGCAGGGTTCTGGAGTACAGGCTAACCAGGGCCTAGGTCCCAAGCCCCAAGGGCTTCTGCCTCCCAGCAGTCACCAGGGCCTGCTAGTCCAGCAGCTGTCCCCCCAACAACCTCAGGGTTCCCAGGGCATGCTAGGCCCTGGCCAGGTGGCAGTGTTGCAGCAGCAGCAGCAGCAACACCCTGGAGCTTTGGGTCCTCAGGGCCCTCACAGACAGGTGCTTATGGCGCAGTCCCGGGTACTGAGTTCCCCTCAGCTAGCACAGCAGGGTCATGGCCTTATGGGACACCGGCTGGCTACAGGCCAACAGCAGCAGCAACACCAACATCAACAGCAGGGATCCATGGTGGGGCTTTCTCATCTTCAGCAAGGCCTGATGTCACACAGTGGACAGCCCAAACCAAATGCTCAGCCTCTGGGCTCCTTGCAGCAGCAGCAGCAGCAGCTCCAACAGCAGCAACAGCAGCAGCAGCTCCAACAGCAGCAACAGCAGCAGCAGCTCCAACAGCAAACAGCAGCAGCAGCTCCAACAGCAACAGCAATTCCAACAGCAGCAGCTTCAGCAGCAGCAGCTCCAACAGCAGCAACAGCAGCAGCAGCTCCAACAGCAGCAACAGCAGCAGCAGCTCCAACAGCAACAGCAATTCCAACAGCAGCAGCTTCAACAACAGCAGCTTCAGCAGCAGCAATTTCAACAGCAGCAACAGCAGCAGCAGTTTCAACAGCAGCAACAGCAGCAGCAGCCATTGCAACAGCAACAACAGCAGCAGCCATTTCAACAGCAACAACAGCAGCAGCAGCAGCCATTTCAACAGCAACAACAGCAGCAGCAACAGCAGATGGGCCTCTTGAACCCGAGTCGAACTTTATTGTCTCCTCAGCAGCAGCAGCAGCAGCAGCAGCAGCCACCGCCGCCACACCCACAGCAGGTGACCCTTGGTCCTGGCATGCCAGCTAAGCCTCTTCAACACTTTTCTAGCTCTGGAGCCCTAGGCCCAACTATCTTGACGGGCAAGGAACAAAACACTGTAGAGACGGCTCTTCCTTCAGAGGTCGCGGAAGGGCCCTCACCACATCAGGGAGGATCATTAGCAATGGGGACTCTACCTGAGCCAATGGCTGTTGAACCAGGGGAAGTAAAGCCCTCCCTCTCTGGGGATTCACAACTCCTGCTGGTCCAACCCCAGGGCCAGCCTCAACCCAACTCTGTGCAGGTGCAGCCACCTTTGAGGCTCCCAGGACAACCGCAGCAGCAAGTTAACTTGCTCCACACAGCAGGTGTAGGAAGCCATGGGCAGCAGATGGGCAGCGGATCATCATCTGAGGCCTCATCTGTGCCCCACCTGCTGGCTCAACCCTCTGTTTCCTTAGTGGAGCAGACTGGGTCAGTGGCCCAGAACCTTCTGGGCCCTCAGCAGCCCCTTGGGCTAGAGCGACCCATGCAGAATAATCCAGGGCCACAGCCTCCTAAACCAGGACCTGTCCCCCATTCTGGGCAGAGTCTGCCTGGGGTTGGAGTCATGCCTACAGTGGGTCAGCTTCGAGCGCAGCTCCAAGGAGTTCTGGCCAAAAATCCACAGTTGCGGCATTTGAGTCCTCAGCAGCAGCAGCAGCTACAGGCACTTCTGATGCAGCGGCAGCTGCAGCAGAGTCAGACAGTACGCCAGGCTCCACCCTTTCAGGAGCCTAGTACCCAGCCATCTCCTCTTCAGGGCCTCTTGGGCTGCCAACCTCAATCTGGGGGCTTCCCTGGATCTCAGACAGGTCCTCTCCAGGAGCCAGGGGCAGGGCCTCGACCTCAGGGCCCATCCCGGCTCTCTGTCCCACAAGGAGCCTTATCCACAGGACCAGTCCTTGGTCCTGTCCATCCCACACCTCCACCATCCAGCCCCCAAGAGCCAAAGAGACCTTCTTCACAATTACCTTCCCCCAGTTCCCAGCTCACCCCCAATCATCCAGGGACTCCAAAGCCCCAAGGACCAACCTTGGAGTTGCCCTCTGGGCGGGTCTCACCTGCTGCTGCCCAGCTTGCTGATACCTTCTTTGGCAAGGGATTGGGACCCTGGGACCCCCCAGAAAACCTAGCAGAAGCCCAGAAGCCAGAGCAGAGCAGCCTGGTACCTGGGCATCTGGAGCAGGTGAATGGACAGGTGGTGCCAGAGGCACCCCAACTCAGCATCAAGCAAGAACCTCGGGAAGAGCCATGTGCCCTGGGATCCCAGGCAGTGAAGAGGGAGGCCAATGGGGAGCCACTAGGGACACCAGGTACCAGCAACCACCTCCTGCTGGCAGGCACCCGCTCAGAGGCTGGGCATCTGCTCTTGCAGAAGCTTCTTCGGGCAAAGAATGTGCAACTCAGTGCTGGGCGGGGGCCTGAGGGACTGCGAGCTGAGATCAACGGGCACATTGACAGCAAGCTGGCAGGGCTGGAGCAGAAACTACAGGGTACCTCCAGCAACAAGGAGGTGAGTACTGTGCTGAGAGTGACAGACAGTGGGGTCTGGAGTGACGGGAGGCAGAGCCATCAGGTCAGGGTCAGGCAGAGCAGGTGAGGCCTGTGAGGGTGAGGGCGGCAGTATTCATAGGGCTTATCTGGCTTAGGATGCAGCAGCGAGGAAGCCATTGACACCGAAGCCCAAGCGGGTACAGAAGGCAAGCGACAGGTTGGTGAGCTCCAGAAAGAAGCTGCGGAAGGAGGACGGGGTCAGGTCCAACGAAGCCTTGCTGAAGCAGCTGAAACAGGTGACCCCCAGGAGCCAGTCCCTTGGTACCATCCCAGGATGAGGGACACCCTGTCCCCCAGCTGTACAGTGACACAGACACAGATGTTGCAGGTTTCCAACTTTGTCATCTTGCCCCTCATAGGAACTCTCTCTGCTGCCCCTGACGGAACCTACCATCACTGCCAATTTTAGCCTCTTTGCTCCCTTTGGTAGTGGCTGCCCAATCAGTGGGCAGAGCCAGCTAAGGGGAGCCTTTGGAAGTGGGGCACTGGCTGCCAGCTCTGACTACTATTCCCAGCTGCTCACCAAGGTCAGAAAAATGGCAATACCTTTTGGGAATGGTGAAGTTTTGGGGAGGTGGGGGCAGAGCTGCAGACTGGAGGAAATTGTAGTATGGGGCCAGGAGATTATACCAGTCTCCCTATGCCATCTTGCACACAACACCCACCCCACCCCTCAGAATAACCTGAGTAACCCGCCGACACCACCCTCGTCGCTGCCCCCCACCCCACCCCCATCGGTGCAGCAGAAGATGGTGAACGGTATCACTCCTTCTGAAGAGCTGGGGGAGCACCCCAAGGACGCGGCCTCTGCCCGAGACACAGAAGGAGCACTGAGGGGTAAGTGAAGAGCCCACTTTCCTTCCCCAACTTGGTGGCTGGGGTGGGAGTAGCTTAGTGTCCAGTGACAGGATAGGCTGCCCAGGTGGGAAGGGCCTCATCAAGACTGATGTAATTGTTTTGAGAGGACAAGGATGGGCTTCTAGAGTCGGAACAAAGACAACTGGGGAGGTTGGTGACAGGGAGAAACTTCGTGTAGAAGGAACAGTCCTGCTCTCTTGAGTGTGGAGTTGTAGTCTGACCTAGATTTGAACTCTGCTATCTGAATATATTTATCTGTGTTATTTTAGTCAAAGTAAGTTGATTGACTTGGTGTGAGCCTCAATTTTCTTTCTATAAATTGGGTATTCTAATGTTTATCTCATAGAGCCATTAGATTAAATAGTGACTGTACTTAGCTAGGGGTGGTGGCACATACTTGTAATTCCAACACCCAAGAGACCAAGCGAGGCACAAGAATCATCAAGTCAAGGCCAGTCTGGGCTATAGTAAGACCCCAGCTTAAACAAGAGAAAAGGATGAAAGTGGTGCTGTGGCTCAGGTGGTAGAGCGCTAGTCTTGAGCACAGAGAGGCTTGGGGACAGGGCCTAGGCCCTGTGTTCAAGCCCTAGGACTGGCAGAAAAAAAAAAAGTGAAATTGAAAAAAGGAGGACTGGGAATGTGGCTTAGTGGTAGAGTGCTTGTCTAGCATGCATGAAACCCTGGGTTCGATTCCTTAGTACCACATACACAGAAAAGGCTAGAAGTGGTGCTGTAGGTCAAGTGGTAAAGTGCTGGCCTTGAGCAAAAGAAGCTCAGAGACAGTTCCCAGGCCCAGAGTTCAAGCCCTAGTACTGGAGAGAGAGAAGGGGGCTGGGGAAGGGGGGGGGCAGGGAGGGAGAGAAGGAAAGCCAGGTGCTGATAGTTCATGTTTGCAATCCTAGCTACTCAGGAGGCTGATATCTGAGGACACAGTTCAAAGCCAGCCTGGGCAGAAAAGTCAGACTAATCTCCAGTTAACCACCAGAAAACCAAAGTTGTAGAGCACTAGCCTTAAAGAGCTCAGGGCCAATGCTAGTGGTTCATGCCTGTAATCTTAGCTACTCAAGAGGCTGAGATCTGAGGATCGCATTTGGAAGACAGCCCAGGAGAAAAGTCCTTGAGACTCTTATCTCCAATGAACCATTCAGAAAAAGCCAGAAGTGGCTCTGTGGCTCAAGCACTAACCTTGAGCACAAAGAGGCTTGGGGACAGTGCCCAGGCCCTGAGTTCAAGCCCCAGGACTGGCAAAAAAAAAAAAAAAAAGAAGAAGAAAGAAGAAAGAGAGTTCTCAGGCCCCAAGTTCATGTCCTATGACTGACAAAAACAAAAAGAGAAAAAAAGATACTTAAAGCCCAGTAACTGCTATACTAGAAAGACTCAACAAATAAAGCTTGTCTAACCCAAACTGATAGATGAACAGATGGTCAATCATAATAATGCTGAACTAGATCTCATGCTAGTTGATCCTGGAATATTGGTGTGAAAATGCCACCCAGTATGACCCCACCTTCTCTCTCCATTCCTACACTTCAGATGCTTCAGAGGTGAAGAGTCTAGACTTGCTGGCCGCTTTGCCTACACCCCCTCACAACCAGACGGAGGATGTCAGGTGAGAGTGGGCCTAAAGATGTGGGTACGGAATAGGGTAGAGGACAGGGTGGCTTTATTTTTTTCTGGGCCAAAGGCAGCTTTCAAGGAAGGCTGTAATACCTGCTAATGTCTACATATGGGCGAAAAACCACAGGGCTATACTAACAGATGTCTCCGCTTATCCTGTAGGATGGAGAGTGATGAGGACAGTGATTCTCCTGATAGCATTGTGCCGGCTTCATCCCCCGAGAGCATCCTGGGGGAGGAAGCCTCTCGTTTTCCACAGCTGGGCTCACGCCAGTGGGAGCAGGACAACCGTGCTCTTTCACCCGTCATCCCCATCATTCCTCGGGCCAGCATCCCAGGTGTGCGCTATTCTGAAAATGAGCCAGAGCTGCCTGAACCCAGGGATGAGTGGCGGAAGGAGGCAGCGGAGTCTACATGAATTCTTTTCTCATTCAGTCTTCCCAGATACCAAACCTTACGGGGCCCTCGACCTGGAGGTCCTTGGAAAGCTACCTGCCACAGCCTGGGAGAAGGGCAAAGGAAGTGAGGTGTCAGTCATGCTGACAGTGTCTGCGGCTGCAGCCAAGGTGTGTCCTGGGGGTTGTCTGGAGCCCAAGGGAAACCTGGCCAAGGAGCAGTTCCTGGAGTTTGCTTGGATAAAGAGAGTTTCAATAGTACATAGTGTTTGTGAAAGCCTGGGCTAGAGGCTATGGAATGAGGGTAAATGAAGCATGGTCCCTTCCCTCCAGGGGCTCATCTTGTAGAAGCAAAGACAAACAATTCAACAGTGTGTTTCAGTGTGACAAATGCTACAAGATAGTTCTTTCTCAGTCACAGCTGGCAGAACACTGCTGTTTTTGAACATGAGCAGGGTTTTGTGGACAAAGAAAACTGGAAAACCTGGTTAAAACAACAGCACCATTTTTATCCATTTTTATTTCTTTATTTCTACAAGACCACCCCTCATTTTTCAAACATTGGGTGAACTCCCAAATTGTGAATAGGGAGAGGATTATTTCCAAAATTCTTGTTTTGTTTTTGCCCATCCTGGGCTTGAACTCAGGGCCTGGGCACTTCCCTGAGCTGCTTTTGCTCAAAGCTAGCATTCTACCACTTGAGCCACAGCCCACTCTTGGCTTTTTCTGTGTTTATGTGCTACTGAGGAGTTAAACTCAGGGCTTCGTGCATGCTAGTCAAGCACTCTACCACTAAGCCACATGCCCAGCCCCTAAACTCTTGTCATTCCCTTCCTGAGGAGCTCCTGTGGGTATCCACAGTGGTTTGGGCAAGGCTGCTGTAAGATAGGTGAGATCTGGAGTGGCATGGACAGCAGGAGCTGACCACTTGGGCAGTGGGTTCCAAGTGTTGTTGTCCCCACCCAGTTCATGCTTACTTCAAACACTGTTGACTTGTCTCTCCCATCCCTTTGCCCACCTTAACAGAACCTGAATGGTGTGATGGTAGCAGTGGCAGAGCTACTAAGTATGAAGATTCCCAACTCCTACGAGGTGCTGTTTCCAGACAGCCCTGCTCGAGCAGGCATTGAGCCTAAAAAGGGGGAAGCTGAGGGTCCTGGTAAGTAGGGCAAGAGAGTACCTTGGGATTGGAGGAGGGAAGGGTTCCACCGCTTCCTTTCTGTAGGTTCTGACCCCTTCTTTTCTGTAGGTGGGAAAGAAAAGGGTTTGAGTGGGAAGAGCTCAGACACTGGCCCTGATTGGCTGAAGCAGTTTGATGCAGTGTTGCCTGGTTACACCCTTAAGAGCCAGCTAGACATCTTGAACCTCCTCAAACTGGTGAGTTTAGGGGAGGAGGGAGGATTGTGAGGCAGAAGGTGCTCCAGGGCAAAAAAAGTACAAGATTGTGGAGTATGTAAAATCTGGGTGAGACAAAGGAGGGCTGCCTAGCTGAGGAACTGGCCTTAATTAATTAACATTTAACAATGCCTCCCTGTAGGAGAGCCCTGCCCCAGAGCCATCCATCCAGCACAGCTACACCTACAACGTCTCCAATCTGGATGTGCGACAGCTATCTGCTCCACCTCCTGAAGAACCCTCCCCACCTCCATCCCCCTTGGCACCCTCTCCTGCTAGCCCCCCTGCTGATCCCCTTGTTGAACTTCAGGCTGAACCCTCTACTGAGCCACCAATCCCCTCACCCCTGCCACTGGCCTCATCCCCTGAATCAACCCGGTCCAAGCCCCGAGCCCGGCCCTCTGATGAAGGTGAAGATTCCCATCCCCCTCGCCTCAAGAAGTGGAAAGGGGTACGCTGGAAGCGACTGCGGCTCCTGCTGACCATCCAGAAGAGCAGTGGGCGTCAAGAGGATGAGCGAGAGGTGGCAGAGTTTATGGAGCAGCTTGGCACAGCCTTGCGACCTGACAAGGTGCCTCGAGACATGCGGCGCTGTTGCTTCTGTCATGAAGAGGGGGACGGGGCCACAGATGGGCCCGCCCGCCTACTCAACCTGGACCTAGACCTATGGGTGCACCTCAACTGTGCTCTGTGGTCCACAGAGGTGTATGAGACTCAGGGTGGGGCATTGATGAATGTGGAGGTTGCCCTGCACCGAGGGCTGCTAACCAAGTGCTCTCTGTGCCAGCGAACTGGTGCCACCAGCAGCTGCAATCGCATGCGTTGCCCCAATGTCTACCATTTTGCCTGTGCCATCCGCGCCAAGTGCATGTTCTTCAAGGACAAGACCATGTTGTGTCCAATGCATAAGATCAAGGGGCCCTGTGAGCAGGAGCTGAGCTCGTTTGCAGTCTTCCGGCGGGTCTACATTGAGCGAGATGAAGTAAAGCAAATTGCCAGCATCATCCAGAGGGGAGAAAGACTGCACATGTTCCGTGTGGGGGGTCTTGTGTTCCATGCCATTGGACAGCTGCTCCCTCACCAGATGGCCGACTTCCACAGTGCCACTGCCCTCTATCCTGTGGGTTATGAGGCTACACGGATCTACTGGAGCCTCCGTACTAATAATCGCCGCTGCTGCTACCGCTGCTCCATCAGTGAGAATAATGGCCGGCCAGAGTTTATAATCAAAGTCATGGAGCAGGGTCTGGAGGACATAGTCTTCATTGATGCTTCTCCCCAAGGTGAGCACTAAGTCACTTATTACCTATTACTTAGGTAATAAGAAATTGGGTGAGTTTCACTTATTACCTATTACTTAGGTAATAATAAATTGGGTGCGTTTCTCCAGGGGTTTTCTAGAGAGTTTGCAGCTTCCATATAAGTGATTCTCCTCTATCTCTAGACAAGCAAGCCAGGAGGCTTTCCTGAAAATTTTGAGCAGCTATTTTGCTTCTTGGTTCCTTTTCCCATCTTTGGTGGATTGGATATCAGTTCTGACACTCCCAGCATCTGGTGTACCAAATCCAATCCTAAGTTCCTTGTGTTCATTTTTCCCTATATAAAATATTTTATCTTTTTTTTGTTTGTTTTTTTGGTACTTGGGATTCAAACCCAGGGCTTGTCTGCCACATGCTAGGCACTGAGCTATATCCCGTGCTCCTTTTTATTGCAATTTTTGTGTTAATCATAAAAATATCAAGAAACTCGTGACTTTTATTAATCATGTACTATGGGTCACAAACTAAAGTGATTTATATGGGTTATATTGTTCGTGCAACCCTATGAGGTAAGTACTGTTACACCCAGTATATACAAAGGAACTGAATCTTAGCTGGGTCACGCCTGTAATCCTAGCTACTTAGGAGGCTGAAATCTGAAGATTGTGGTTCAAAGCCAGCCCAGGCAGGAAAGTCCATCATGAGACTCTTTTTTTTTTTTTTTTTTTGGTCCAGTTATGGGGTCCTGAACTCTGGGCCTGGGTGCTGACCCTCAGCTCTTCAGCTCAAGGCTAGCACTCTACCACATCACGAGACTTTATCTCCAGTTAACCATCAGAAAACCAGACGTGGAGCTATGGCTCAAAGTGGTAGAGTGCTAGCCTTGAGTGAAAGGTCCCAGAGACAGTGCCCAGACCCTGAGTTAAGTCCCATAACTGACCAAAAACAAGAAAAGGGACTGAGTCTTACAGAGAGATTTAGGTATTTGGCTTAAGTCCCTTGGCTAGTACTAGTACTTGGACCCAATTCTTCCCAACTCCAAAGCATACCTGTTCTTTCAGAAGACCAAGGCTTCGTCTGGCCCTCTGGAACCTGGATTTGTTTGTTTGTTTGTTTGTTTTTTGGGTCTGGTTGTGGGGCCTGAACTCTGGGCCTGGGCGCTGTCCCTCAGCTCTTCAGCTCAAGGCTAGCGCTCTACCACTTGAACCACAACACCACTTGCGGCTTTTTTCTTTTTGCTTATATGGTGCTGAGGAATCGAACCCAGGGCCTCATGTATGCAAGGCAAGCGCTCTACCATTGAGCCATCTTCCCAGCCCTAAGGGACCTGGGTTTTTGTGTTTCTGTATCATAAACTCTATGATTCCCCTCCACCATTGAAGCCTGCATGGAGTAGAAAGCCAGGAGGGGGTCCTGAAGGTCCACACTTGTAGGGAAAAAAATGCAAAAAAACTTGTGAGGAGTTAGAAGTCAGGAGCCTCTGAGAGGAGCTTTCTTTTTCTGCCTTCTAGCTGTGTGGAATCGCATTATTGAACCTGTGGCTGCCATGAGAAAAGAGGCTGACATGCTGAGGCTCTTCCCTGAGTACCTAAAAGGAGAGGAGCTCTTTGGGCTGACGGTGCATGCTGTGCTTCGTATAGCTGAATCAGTAAGCAAGGGGCCAGGTGGTCTGGGGCATGAGGTGGGCACTGGGAATCTTGGCTCTGTCCTCAAGGAGCTCAGAGGCTGAAGTAAAAGCACTACCTGTGCCCACAGCTGCCTGGGGTGGAGAGCTGTCAAAACTATTTGTTCCGCTATGGGCGCCACCCCCTGATGGAGCTGCCACTCATGATCAACCCCACTGGCTGTGCCCGATCGGAGCCTAAGATCCTCACACACTACAAACGGTGAGCTTGTGGGCCTGGGGCTGGAGCCTGTGGGGGTGGGTGTTTATAGGGATCCTTTGGCCACCTTGAGGGTTTGGGATTGGGATTAGAGTTTCCTCAGAGACTGGGGGTTAACGCTTAAACTTCCAGATTAAAGAGCACATGTGTATCAGTAGGGTATCCCTCTCCTCTTCCCTAATCTGCTTAGGTGTACTGGTGACTAGTGGGAATGGTTTGTTGGGGAAGTTTTTTTGATAGACAATGGTGAAACTTTATGAAATATAGGAGGAGTCTTGTCACTTTTTTCCTTCTTCAGTTTTGCATCCAAAGGGCCTGTGATAACTCCCAAATCCCAGACACTCTATGAGCGCTAGGATCACCTTCCCTTCCCAAGTTGGTGTTAGAAATAATTAGAAATATAATAGAAAAATAATAAAACCTTACATTTGTATAGCACTTTATACTTTTTTTTTCAAAGCGTTTTCACATCCATTATCTCATTTGATCCTCACAACAACCTTATGAGGTAGGTAGGGCAGGTGGTATGACCCCCATTTTACAGCTGAGAAAACTGAGGCCCAGAAAGACTACGTGACTAAATAAAGGTCACACAGCTGGGACTAGACCCTTGCTTCTTCACTTGTGGGTCACTGTTCTTTCTGTATGTCACAGTAGCCTAACCCTGGTCCTTGGGCAGAGGGAGGCAGGATCCATGGTTGCAGGGCTTTCTTGAGGACCTTTGGTGACTCCTAGTTACTGTAGAGCGTCAGAGACTCCACCCCTAATCAGCCCTAGTCCTTGATGCTCTACAACAGTGGTTTTCAAACTGTGTGTGTGTGTGTGTTCCAAAAGTCCTGGAGCACATAAAAAAAATGGGCAGAACTTAGCCCTTCCTATGTGTTAAACCCCTCCCGCCTCCCCCCAAAAAATAGTTTTAACCAGAAGAGCTCCATTTTAACCTATCTTATGGACTGGAGTTCTGACCAACATTTTATTAAAGAAAAAAAAAAACCTTTTAAAAAGAAAAAGGAAAAAAAAGAATGCAAACGTTTGAAAACCACTGCTCTGGGATGGGCAAGACTTTGGCTGGTGCCCTAGGGTGGTGAAAGGCATACCGCCAGGCAGCAGTCATTCCCCTGCACTGAGCCATCTGCACAGAGCCCGATGCTATGTCAGGGAATGGGACAGACTGAAAAAAGGCAAGGATACCACCTTTAGGCTGGGAATTCACAGCCATTTTTTTATTCTAATTCAGCCACTGTAGTAGAGATGGCCCCTATTTTCAGGGCTTACAGCATGGGCAGGAGGTAAGCTTCAGACATTTGGACAAACCATCAGCTTAAATTCCAGGCCTAGGCTGCTTGAGGAAGACCTCCCAGAGGAGCTTGGCCTTAACGTATGGTTTGGCAGGAGGGTGGTAGAAAGAGAGGAATGGGAGAGCAGGCTCAGTGTAGGGGAATTGGTGCCCCCCTTTCCCTCCATACCTACCCCCTATCTTGGGCTGTCTCTTCTACCCAGAGTATCAGAAGGGTCCCTGTAACTAGTTGCTGCCTCTTGAGAGCTGAGACCTGAGTGCCTCTACTCTCCTTCCAAGGCAGCACTTCAATGCTTGCTGGCAATACATGCCCGTTGCTGGCATGTTGTATTCCCAGAGAAGAGGTGGGTAGTATATGCTTTGTCTCTCTTGTCATGGACTGTATCACCTCCCAGGCCCCATACCTTGAACAGCACCAGCATGTCTAAGGCATATCAGAGCACCTTCACAGGCGAGACCAACACCCCATACAGCAAGCAGTTCGTGCACTCCAAGTCATCTCAGTACCGGCGCCTGCGCACGGAGTGGAAGAACAATGTTTATCTGGCGCGGTCCCGTATCCAGGGCCTGGGCCTCTATGCAGCCAAGGACCTAGAAAAGCACACAATGGTCATCGAGTATATTGGTACCATTATTCGAAATGAGGTGGCCAACCGACGGGAGAAAATCTATGAGGAGCAGGTATGGGCTGTATGAAGGGCTGTTGTGGTCATTGTCCACACTCAGCCAAGGAGCAAGGGGAAGGTTTGGGCTCAAGACGGCAGTCAGAAAGCAGTGCATGATGGGAAAACAGGAGAAATGGATATACCACATAAGTCCACTTACCTCAGTCTGTTTACCTGATAACCTTGTCTGTCTTTCTGCAACCTCTGCCTTTGTAGAATCGAGGCATCTACATGTTCCGAATAAACAATGAACATGTGATTGATGCTACGTTGACTGGAGGCCCTGCCAGGTGAGAGGGAGGAAGGAAGGACTTGGGTGGCAGGGCCAACAAGGAGCCAATATTGTCTGAGTTACCTGGTATTAATGACTTGTGTCCCACTGGGCAGGTACATTAACCATTCCTGTGCCCCTAACTGTGTGGCTGAAGTCGTAACATTTGACAAGGAAGACAAAATCATCATCATCTCCAGCCGGCGAATCCCCAAAGGAGAGGAGGTGAGAGGAAGAATCTTGAGGACTTGACGGAAGTAGCTGTTCCTTCTTTCCTGGCCCCCTTTTCTATTCTTTAGGAGTTGGGTTCTGTCACATTTTGGCCCTCTGCTCCCTTCCTTTGGGAGCAAACCTTGATTCTACCCTCTTTTTTTTTTTTCAGCTGACCTATGACTATCAGTTTGATTTTGAGGACGATCAGCACAAGATTCCCTGTCACTGTGGAGCCTGGAATTGTAGGAAATGGATGAACTAAGAAGCTTTGAGGCTACCAGGCAGGGGAGTCCTACCCTCCAACCTCTTTCCCGCCAGGGACGAAGGGGAAGAGAGGTAGCAGCCAGAGCCAGGACCCAGGGCTGGCGCTGCCAGCTGACTGGAGCCCCTGAAGCAGGAGGCTGGGGCAGAGGGCCCTAGGCCAAACCCACCCTGGGCACCAGGGACAACCCTCTTCCCCACCACCGGCCCTCAGGCTGGCATCTCTGCCCCCAGCTCCAAGAGGGGCTAGATAGAAGCAGCCATGGGCATCTCAGGTTTGAGGGGGATATGGGCCGGGAACTACCCAGAAGCATCTGGGAGGCAGCAGGGAGGGGGGAAGAGGATGTGTGGCCAGGCCTCACAGCCCTGCTGCTCCCACTGACCTCTCTGGCCCAACTCAAGGCTGCAAAGAGACTTGACTAAGCTTGACAATCCCAAAGGCCGGGTCCCATACCTGGCCCTGCCTGCCGGGTCCTGCCCCCACCCACCCTCACCCCCATCCCCTTCCCTCTCTATCTGTCTCTGTCTCCCTCTTCTCCTCTGTGTTTCTGTCTCTCTATGGGTTGTGTTTCCTTGTTTTCCACTCTGACAAATGCAACATGAACGGGAAAGAGGCATCCAGCTGCCCAGGAGGGCGAGCTGGGCAAGCCGGGCAAGGAGACCCCGCACCCACACCTACCTCATTTAAGTGTTGGATTTTTTGCTGTTTTGAAATGTGAGACCCTCTCCAAGCCCCCTACTGCCCCAACCCTCTCCCCCACCTCACTGCCCTCTTCTGAGTGGGTGGAAGGGGGGGTAGGAGGAGGAAGAAAAAAACAACAACAAAAAATCCATCTTTGTTTTTAATTCTGGGCATGGGATGGTGGTTGAGGCAAATGGTGATGAAGATTGGGGATGACTGGCCCCTAGTTGCTCTAGGACTTCCTTCTCCATCTGGACATGGGGGCAGGAGCGGTGTGCTAAACCTAGGACCAGGACATTTCCCCGCTGTTTTCCCAACCTCATCATGAGCCCATTTGCCCTCCAGCCCCTGGATGGGGTCAGTGGGGGGTAGGGTGAGGGCTATCCCTGAGTGGCATGCCCATACCTAGTGAGGCAGGGTGTGGCCTGGAGCTCCCACTTTCCCTCAGTCACCAAACTGCTGCTGGTCTGGTGGGAAGGGGTGGTGATGTGGGGGTGGGGAGCTTAGTGTCAGCGCGGGGAGGGTGGGGGGTATTTATCTATTTATACATGGGATTGTACATAGTCTTGTGGGGCATGGGGGAGCCGGCTGGAGGTGAGAACCCTCCCCTCTCCCCTCACCCCCGGGGAGAGCAAATGTAAAACTACTAATTTTTGTGCTTTATATATTCTATATAAATATATCTATTTTCTTTTTACAAAACCAGTTTATAAATGGTAGGGGGGTGTGGGGCGGACAAATGGAGCTCCCCTTGTGGGGGAGCCCCCTCCATTACCCAACCTACCGCCCTTTTTCTCACCCCCCCCACTCCCCACCCCCCTGGCTGTGACTGCTGTAAGGTGGGGGTATAGAGAGAGGCTGGGTGATTTCTACCCTGTTGTATAGTTGGACTATGTTATAACGCACAAAAGTGAGCTGGCCCCAGGGGGAGCCAGAGTGTGATGGGTTCCCTGCCTCCCTTTCCTTCCCCTTTCTGCCCAAGCTTGTGCTGCAGTTGAACCTCTTCCTGGGGGTGTGGGTAGGTAGAGGATGGGTAAGGCCCCTGTCCCCTCTCTGGTAGGGAGCCATAGGATGATGGTGAAGCTTATATGCAGTTCTCTCCTGGGGGCTGGGGGCGAAGGGCATTTTGTAATTAATATTTTCAAGAATCAGACGTCGGGAGTGTAGGGGTGGGCTTGGTGGTGGCAGATGGGCTGGCCTGCTGGAGGGGAAGCATGGTCGCTGTTGTGATTTTAGGTTTGTTTTTGTTTTGTTTTGAATTGCGGGGTTGTGGATTGATGGGGGTAGGGAGATTTCTTTCTTCTTTTCTTTTTTTTTTTTAAGTTGCTTCAACTATTTCAAGCTGCAAATGTTTAAGAGAGTAACCCCCCACACACACACTCCCACAGGAATCACTGCAATTAGATCAGACAGTGGGGAGGATGGGCTGCTGCCCCCCAAAGCCACAGCAGAAAGGTGGAGGCTACTGGGAAGGAGATAATGCTCTGGGAAGTCAGGCTGTGGTTGGTTGGGGCTTGGGCCCTGGGATTAGGAAAAGGAGACAGGGCAGACTTTGTAAGCATATGCTAGGTATCCCATAGTCCTGTAGAATTTAGTGAACTCTTATACAGTTTTTAATTTTTATATAAACTATAACTCAGACCCAAGCTACAAGGTTGGAATTTTGGTTGTTGGTTGTTTTTTTTTGTTTTGTTTTTTTGGGTTTTTTTTTTAAGAACCCTGCCTGTATAATTGCATCAGACTCCCCCCCCCCCCCCGTGTTTGTATTTTGGGTTGGTTTACACTTGCACATACTCAATTTTTCAGTTTCTCCCCCTTACCGTCATCTACCCTCACCTCCAGGACCCTGCCCCTTTTTAAAAAAAAAAAAAATAAATCGCTGACAAGTGTGAATCCCGTGAAGACTTTATTTTGTGGTGTGTGTATCCTGTACAGCAAGGTTGGTCCTTCGTAACAACGGATGAAATGGTTCCCTTTTTTAAAGCGCCCTCTCTCCCTCCGCCCCCAGCGGCCCCACCCCCACCCCGCCCTCGGCATGTTTTGTATCAGCGATCATTCTGAACTGTACATAATTTATGTTGCGAGAGGCAAAGGGCAAGTTTTGGATTTTGCTTCTTACAAGTTTGTTTTTAAACGACAAATAAAAAAAGAACATTTTAAATACAAGCGGCTCCGTCCCGTGACCCTCGCCGGCAGTCAGATCCGAGAGAGAGGTCCGAGAGGACCCGAGGCTGGGGGGGGGGGCGGGGAGGACGGGGAGGACGCTCTACCTAGGCCCGGGCCACCGCCGGAAGGGTGGGCTCCCCGCTCTCCGCCCTCAGCTTGCGTCTTTCGTGGCGTAAGCGGAAGTGGCGTCAAGACACCGGACATGGGGCGGGGCCTGCCCCCAGACCAATTTACTAAAGCGAAAGAGTCCGGTCGGTCCCCTCTCGCGATGGAGACGGTGAGGAGCTGAGGAGGGTGGCGGAGGGGGGGCGCTGTGGAGCCCGAGATCCTGTTCTGGAGCCGTGTGGGACAGGGCAGGGGCAAGCACTGACGTTAGAAGCCGGGTAGGACGGGGCAAGGGCTAGCAAGCAGCAGCCGGGTGTCTTGGGTTCATTAACTCTGCCCTTCTGCTCCAGTGCGGGTGCATCTCCTACGACCCGGCCACGCCCGTGGGCTGCGGCTGCGGCACCCCTAACCCAACAGGCAGTGTCACTCCGGGAGACTCCCATGAGCCCACGTATGCATAGGCCTCTTTAACTCTTAAGCACTCCCAAGACCTTTCAAGAAGTTTGCATGGGGCATCAGGCTTGTTTGTGGTCGATTTTACTGGGCGAGGGCCCCCCGTTTGCAGGTAGCAGCTTCTGGACCGCGGCTGTGTGGCTGTGATTCCTGCAATTTCCTGTCAGGAAGATCATCTCAAAGACTATCCTGCAGCCACCGATGTTGCATCCCTTTCATATGACCAAGAATTGAGGCTTCTGCGAAGGAGAGCATCATTGTTAAGGGGCCGCTTTGTCCCTTAGACAAGTTTAAGTCTCCTCCTGCGCTGCGACTCTTAAGCGGGCGTGTTGACATAGTTCCTTCTTGGCAAACAGGCTTTAATCAATGGTGACAGGTCCTTGTCACCTTCCCACAAATGCTGCAGATTGGCAGTTTTTAGCCATGTATCCTGTATTAGGCATCTTGTTTTTAATCACCTGCATCTGTGTCATTGTGTAAGGACTCCAGGTTCACTTTTCTTTGGATCAATTGTTACATGCCCAGAGTAAGTCTATGCTCTTTCTCTGCCTGCACAGTGGTGGTGTCTCTTAAGTTATAAAGAAGAAAACAGTCTAAACTGTTAAAGTGATCATGCAATTGCTCAGGCAAGGGAGTTATTTTCTATATAGTAAGGCATTTTGAGCAATAGTCTGATCCCATTAAATTCCAGGTGATTTTTTTTCTTACTTCTAAATGTATTATGGTTTACAAAGCTTTTTTTTTTTTTTAAGTCGTTTGTGGGGCTTGAACAGCACCACTTCTGGTTTTCTGGTGGTTTTTTGGAGATAAGAGCTTAGGGACTTTCCTGCCTGGGCTGGCTTTGAGCCACAATCCTCCTATCTCAGCCTCCTGAGTAGCTAGGATTTCAGGCATGAGCCACCGGCACCCAGTTTACAAAGCATTTTTATGTATAGATTTTCAAACGTAGCCCTCATGGCTTATGTATTGGATTGGTTATGTACTGGATTGGATTTTGGGGTTAGAAATTGTTTTCTAAAATAAGAAAGTGGGAAAAGAGCAGGGGAGAAAAGGAAGAAGGGAGGGAAGGAGGAAGGGAAAGAGTGAGGGGTGAGAGAGAGAAGATACAAAACTCCTACAATTGAAAATCCATAGCTTAACTGGTTAAGCTAAGTGGGGACGAGAGCAAGCCAGTGTCAGCTGTTTTTAAGGTAGACTGTAATAAGTGCTCATAAAGATGCAAAAGACTGAAAAGCCAGAGGAGGGAGAAATTACAGTGTCCTAGAAGAGGGCATTGCAGATTGTGTAAGGGCATAGAAATTGGGTATACAGGGAAAATGGGGTGAAACTTCTTGATATTGCTAGAGCTTTTGATTTTGATCACAATATAGAAACAGGAAGATAAGACAAGGTCAAGTTGGCAGTGTTGCATACCATGCTAAGTTTGAAGTTTATATATTTTGTCAGTTGTGGGGCTTGAACTTGGGGCCAGGGTGCTGTCCCTGGGCAATTTTTGCTCAAGGCTAGCACTTTACCACTTTGAGCCACACCACCACTTCCAGTTTTCTGGTGGTTAATTGGAGATAAGAGTCTTACAGACTTTCCTGCCTGGGCTGGCTGTGAACTACAATCCTGAATCTCAGCTTACTAAGTAGATAGGATTATAGGCATAAGACACCAGTGCCAGGCTTTGAACTTTAAAATTTTGTAACAAGGAGATCCATGAGAGTGTGCTTTGGAAATATTCTTTGTTTTTGGTGGTGCCCTGGGGTTGATGACACAGGATCTTCTGTAGTCCAGGCTAACCTGGCAGTCACTATATAGCTAACGTTGCCCTTGAACTCACTCTCCTATAATCCTGTTAGGATTATAGAAGTGGACTACCTCATCTGGTTTGGAAATGTGTGGTTTTTGTTTTTGTTTTTTGGCTAGTCCTGGGGCTTGAACTCTGGGCCTGGGCACTGCTCCCAGCTTCTTTTAGCTCAAGGCTAGTGCTCTACCACTTGAGCCACAGTGCCAATTCCAACATTTTCTATTTATGTGGTACTAAGGAATCGAACCCAGGGTTTAATACTTGCTAGACAAGCACTCTACTACCACTAAGCCACATTCCCAGCCCTTTGGGAATTTTTTTTTTTATAACAGCTGACCATAAGACTGAACTAGTTTGGCTGGGAATGTGGCTTAGTGGTAGAGTGCTTTCCTAACATCCATGAAGCCCTGGGTTCCATTCTTCAATACCATATACACAGAAAAAGCTGGAAGTGGCACTATGGCTCAAGTAGTAGAGTGCTGGCCTTGAGCAAAAGAAGCTCAAGGACAGTGCCCAAGCCCTGAGTTCAAGCCCCAGGACTGGCAAAAAAAAAAAAAAAAACTACTTCAGAAAGTAGTGAGTTTTAGGATGCTAGAGATAAAAACCTTTTCTATACTGAAGATGCACTGGCCAGAGAACTTGGTAAAAGCACAAAAGGGAGTTGAGGAGAGAGAGATTTGAACAGAGACAAGGTTAGGGAATGTAGCACAAATGAGAAGTAAAAGTCTAAGTCAAGTCTATAAGTAGAAAGGAGAGAAATGTTCTGAGGCATTGCCAAATGGCAGTTTAGCACCTCCTGCCCTACTTGTTCAGGAAAGTAGAGGAATGGATTAAGTTCTAGGCACCTAGGAAGAGAGCAATGGAAAAAAAAATTGGAAGTGGAAATCACATTAAGAATGATATTATTGATTCAAAGCCATCCCAGGCAGAAAATCTAAGAGACTCCTAACTTGAGCAAAAAAGCTAGCAGCTCAAGGGGTAGAACACAAGCTGTAAGCAAAGTGCCAAGCAACAGCCAAGGCCTTGAGTTAAGCCCCCTACTGGCACACACATACACACCAAGTAACAAATCCTCTCCTCCCTCCCTCCCTCTCTCTCCCTCTCTCTCTCTCTCTCTCTCTCTCTCTCTCTCTCTCTCTCTCTCTTTGTGTCAGTCAAGGGTCTTGAACTCTGGGCCTGAGCCCTGTCCCTCAGCTCTTCAGCTCAAGGCTAGTGCTCTGCCACTTGAGCCACAGCACTACTTCTGGTTTTTTGGTGGTTGATTGGAGATAAGAGTCTCATGGCCTTTCCTGCCCTGGCTGGCTTTGAACCATGATCCTTATATCTCAGACTCCTGAGTAGCTAGGATTACAGGTGTGAGCCACTGGCACCCAGCCAAATCATCTTTTTTGTATTGAAACTTTGTGTGTACCAGTCTTAGGGCTTGAACTCAGAGCCTGGCTACTGTCCTGGAGCATTTCTGGTTTTGTTTTTGTTTTCCCCTCAAAGCTAGTGCTCTACCACTTGAGCCATAGCTCCACTTCTGGCTCATGGGCTTTCCTGCCCAGTCTGGATTCAAATCATGATCCTCAGATCTCAGCTTCCAGAGAGTAGCTAGAATTACAAGTGTTAGCCACTGATGCCTGGCTTTTTATTTTGAAGAGTCTCTGTGATGTCTGTTTTTGGCAAAAAACAAAAAATAAAACCAATTGGAAATGTAGATCAGGAGTTCAGAAGAAATTCATGTCAGTTCATATTTAGTCTATCTCTATAATAATATTTAGTCTATACCTCTGTAATATTTATGCTTGGGTAATACAGAGGTGCCTTCTCAGTCCTATGTATATTAAAAATAGAAAGGAGGGGTTGGGGCTGGGAAGGTGGCTCAGTGGTAGAGCGCTTGCCTTGCATGCATGAGGCCCTGGGTTCGATTCCTCAGCAACACATAAGTGAAAAGAAAAAAAACCTGGAAGTGGCGCTGTGGCTCAAGTGGTAGAGTGCTAGCCTTGAGCTGAAGAGCTGAGAGACAGTGCCCAGGCCCAGGCCCTCGACCGGAAACCCCCCCCAAAAAAAAAGAAAAAAAAAGGAGGGGTTGGAGGCATGGCTCAGGGCATAGAGTGCCAGCCAATGAGCAAAAGCATTGGATTCTGAGTTTGAGTCCTGATCTCTGACAAAAAAGAAAGAAAAATGGAAAGGAGTGGTTTTAATCTCTCCTTTTATGTGGATGGTCACATTTAGTTGTGTCTCTCCTATGTTGATATCTGTATGTCTTTCCCTCTTTCACTTAGTATTTAGTCTCTGTTCACATAAGTGTAACTCATTATAAGAAAATTTAAAAATAGAACAATTGTAAATATATATGATACCCCAGACTAGGTTGTACAGATACAAAGTATAAGGCAGTTGTATGCTTCTGGGAGTTTACAATGTGTTTGAATAGATAAAAACAAAGTAACTATAGTTCAGTGCAGTATGTAAGTTTCATATGATGGAGGCTGTAATTTCTAGAAGTAGCTGCTTGTGTGCCTTTGTGTAGATCTTTGTCAGACTTGTATATCATGTATGTGTATTTACCGTAGGACAGCACTCTCTCTCATTTTAAGTCATGAGCCTCTTGTTCCGATAGCCTTGCCAAAAATACCACGTCAAGCTCATAGTCTTAAAGCAACCGAGAGAGAAGAGAGGGAGATTATCTCCTTTC